GAAAAGGGTAGAGAAGGCCGGCCATCATTATCTTAGAACAAGCCCCAACGACTCCGTGTTTCCTTGCTAGGGGGTGCACGCTCTGGAGCCCGACTACGGCCGTCGAGTTGTCGGACACTTTCGATCTTCTGTAGAGCCAGTTCCAGCAGCTCTTTCTTGCGGATGATGTCGAGGTGGCGGCGGATACGAGGATCCTCACGGGCAAAGCGTTCGACCTCGGCGTCGGAAAGGTGTCGTCCAAGTCTTGCGTCAAGCTCGCGGGGGAAATTATAGTAGAACTCGGAGAGGAGTTCAACGTTGAGGAAAAGCACGGCCGTTGAAGTGAGCTTGTCTGCTACCACATCCAGGAAGACTTCTGGGCAGTAGTACTTGTTCTTTTGCGTGGCGCATTGCTTGGAACGAACGGCTAGAAGTCTCATCTTGATCAAGTCGGCACGGTCACGTAGGAAGAGGCCCTCTCGCCCTAAGATATGCATGTTAGTATATGTGAATGAACAAGACGGCGGAAAAACTAACCTCTTTCTAATAGGGCAGCACTGAATCCACCGGCGCCACCCTCACCGTTGCCCTCTAGTACAACCTCGCCCTTTCGCACGCGGTCGATGAAAGAGACTACGTCTTTCAGCTTCCGTTTTCCGACAACGTCTTCCACATGCTTCATGGCTGACTCGCAGTGCTTGAGCTCGTCCTTAAGAACCCTGCCCACGTTGTCTCTGCCCTTGGCCCACTCGGAGTCTTCCACTTCGATCTCAAACTTGTATGGCTTTATGCAGTTTTCCACTTGGTCACTGGTGCTAAAAAATCTGTCGTTTAAGATAGAATTGCACGCATCTGTGATTTGCTTGTGGGCGCCGGGGTGGGAGGCGAATGTAGAGGAGGCGAGGAGTTGGTCGACATGGTTGTGGAGAGCATTGGCAACGACAGTGGTAGCCAATCGACCAATTCCAAGTTTTGTTAATGAAGAGGTAGAGGCATCTAGCTTCCGGTGCCAGTAGAGAGACTCGGGGTCAGACTTGGGAAGGTCCTTGAGCGAATCCAGTTCCAGCATAGGAGGGTCTAAGTCTTCAACTGGCTTATTCCAGTAGCGCTGCGCCAGAATATCCATGACCCGCTGGTCCAATTCGGCTTTCAGCATCTCCCGGACCTGGGGTCGGCCAAAGCTTTCCGCAAATGCCTTGAAGGAATGCTTGAAACTGTCAAGGCTCTCGGCCAAGTGAGACTCTGCGCTCAAGGGTCGATCATTATATTGAACCTTGAACTCGTAGGTTGCTTCCTCAAGTTCCTGACTGATGGCATCCCTTGTTCCAGCCAGGCTGGATGCCATGGTTTGCTCGAGAACGTGCATCAGTGTCTTACGTAGCGTCGAGACACCCACCGAGACATCGGAGTGGGGACCAAATTCGCCAGGATGAGAAGAAAAGTAAGCATGTTCGTTCTTGAGAATGGCGCTGGTGATGTTCCCACTGCCTCTGGAGAACAGAGCATTCGTCTGAGGGATGCGGCTGACAACGCCCACGTAACCAAGTCGGAGGGGGTACTTCTTATCAGAGAGAACGTCATGGCCACGTTCTGGGCTCACAAGGTCCATCTTCGTAATCACACCGATAGTCCGTTCACCCCGAGGGTCGACTCGGCGGCTGGCTCGGAGTGCTGTAGAGTTTGCCAAGTCAACGTCGGCGGCCGAGATCGCCAGAATGACATTGGGGGGTTGGATGTATTTATCGCAAAGGTCACTGATCTTTTGCTTAAGCTCCGGGGGTTGGTCATGGCCAGCAACCTGGATATAACCTGGTAGATCGATCATGGAGAGATCAGGAACATTGGGAGAATAAATTGTGAGTTGAATAGGATCGTCTGTGACACAATCCTTTTCGGGGACAGAAAGGTTGAGGTCTGTGAGGGTGCGCTGAATTTGGGTGAAGTCTGTGATCTTGCCGAGTCCTAGAGCTGGGAATTCACCATATTCCGACTGGGCGTTAGGGGTATTGACCAAGGTCAGTTCAATGGGCCGGCGAGTCACCATGTTCGAGCCCTTGGGCAAGAATTCATGACCGACGATGGCTTCGAGAACCGAGCTCTTGCCCGAAGATTGGGATCCGATGACGACGATTGACGGCAATGTAAGTGTGTCGGATTGGCCGATTGTCTGAAGGATGTTTCGAATCTCGATCATCTTGCGCGTGAGAAGCATCATCTGGTCGTCCTCCGCAGCGTCCCTCGCCGGGCGTACGTCTTCCTCTCCTGGTTGATCGTAGCCGAATGCCGAAGTAGTGGCGGCGGCGGCGGCAGCAGCAGTTCCAGCCCGACTTTGTTTCGGTTCCTTGTCCCCACCACCTGACTCGCCCTTTTGAGACTCCTCATCGAGACGGAGGATCTTCTGCAGCCACTCGGGGATATCGAGGTCTTCGGTCGTTTTGCTCCACCCGCGTTGTGTCTGATCCGCCACATCCTGCAGTCCCTGGAACAAAGTCGATGCTGTGTTCCCCGCAGTCTCCGAGGCTTGTTTGAAAACATCCATCGCATAGTTCCCGGCCTCTAAAGAACGTATTAGTCCATGATCCCACCGCAGATAACCTAGTTATTGAGAAACGTACGGGTTGCTTGGTATTGGAAGTAAGCCAGACCCGCGATTGTTGCGCCTCCAAACATCGCCGGAACCCTGACAAGCTTCAATGCCAGCTTGGGAAGCATTCGGGCAAACGAGATTGATCGAACAGCCGGTACATTATGAATGGCATTTGAGCCTACTGGCCATGCGCGTCCTCTGAGAGCAGCTCCACCATCTGCGCGTAGCAGACCTCCAGTCCTCGAGCCTGTATTATGAATATGGCGAGCAAGATGCCCGTTCCGCAAGAGCGGGCCAAGTCGATGGGAGAGGATCCTCCCACTCATTGCGATGGCATTCAAAGATGGAAACAAAAGTGAAGTCTACGGACTACGGACCACTGACATCAAGGATAACAATCCCCGTGACTTGCGTCAGTGGCCGCTTCGTCTCCCGTATAAATTTGAGTCACGTGGCGCATGACGTGATGGGCAAGGGAAGTGATTGTATCCTTTATTGTTGATTTGATAAATTCATTCTTCTTTGTTCTTCATATCTTGAGTTTACGCGCCGTCTCCAACTGTTATTCTGTGGGATTGTGATTGGGCCGCGTAGGCATCTCACCAGTTCCCAACAGTCGGTGACTCTTCATCTCCCACCCCACGAAATCGACTATTGATTGCATTGGACTCACCACAAGCACCCTACTATTTGGAGTATAATAGTGCTACAATTTTGAAAGACTAGGTGCATAGATACGTGGGATTCCACTAAGTATCATTCGATCTGCATTTGATCGACAGCAACCATGTGCCGATTCCTGGTAAGAGCATCTCACCGAGTTCAAGTCCAAAGCTAATGTCTCAAATAGATATACAAAGGACGGAATGAGATCCGGCTCAGCAAGCTGATCACGGAGCCAAGTCATTCGATCCTAACTCAATCTTATGATTCACGTCTGAGACTGGTAGGCTTCCCCGTCAGCTGGATGTCACAGTCGGCCCATTGGAGTGATCAATAGCGCAACCAACTAACACAGAACTTCAGGATAACCGTCGACCTGTCAACGGTGATGGATTTGGTGTGGGCTTCTACACGGATCCCAAGCTTGGACCTGAACCTTGCATCTTTACCTCGACACTTCCCGCATGGAACTGCGAGAATCTTGAACGACTCGCCTCAAAAACGTGTTCGGACCTCATTTTTGCGCACGTGCGAGCAACCACTGAAGGTGCTCTTGCCGAAAACAACTGCCACCCATTCCAACACCAATCCCTGATGTGGATGCACAATGGTGGCATTGGTGGATGGAACTACATCAAGCGCGCACTCGGAAGTTCACTAGCCGACAAGTGGTACCTGGGTGTGAAGGGTGGCACTGATAGCGAATGGGCATTTGCTCTGTTCCTTGACCTGCTAGAGAAAGAAGGAGTAGACCCGAGCTCTGACCCCGGCCCGGAGGGATTTGGACAGGCACGACTTCGTCGCGTTATGATGAAAACCATTGCTCGTATCAACGAAATGGTTCGGGAGATTCCTGAGAAGTATAACGTCACTGGAGTCGAGACTCGGAGTCTCTTGAACTTCGCTGTGACTGATGGCCATACTGTTATCTGCACTCGGTATATCAGCAGTAAGACAGACGAGCCTGCAAGCTTGTATTTCTCTTCTGGCACAAAGTGGAAAGAAGGAGAGACAAAAGGTCACTTCAAGATGGAACGACACGACAAGGGTGCCGATATTGTCTTGGTAGCCAGCGAGCCTATCACTTTCGAACGACGTGAGTACTCCATTGTCTTCAGGCGAATATTGGTCATACTAATCTCGAACCAGACAATTGGGTGTCTGTTCCTACCAACTCTGTTGTAACTATTCACAAACAGACTGTGATGTTACACCCGATTCTTGATGAGTTCTATGACGAGGATCTCAACCACGACCGTTCCTCCTGCTTTGCCGTATCCAAGGGCCTTGTCAGCACTGCTCCTGGCACTACAGTCCCACCACAAAAGTCGACCGAGCCCCGTGGCCCTTCAGCATCAGCCAATGCCATTGGAGGCACTGGTGCTGCCTTGGACGACATTCGGCCCTCGCATGCCACGGAATGTACTGTTTCGCACTAAGTCTGACATAAAGGCGATGTCCTTGTCGTTAAACCCGAGATACAGTCTCAAAATTGCAAGCATTGTCTTAACACGGCGTCGGGAACCAAACATGTTTACAGATCTCTGGTTCAGGTTGGAGTTTATCAGTTGGAATGGAGCGTTCTTGTCCGTGTGATCTTTCGGGAAATATATTTGCATCATCTAAGCCCACAATGTTTCTTTCAATTAAAGTATAGTTTTTGAAACTAATTGGAATCCTTTCCCGTTAGCCAAATATCAATTGTATCATTGAGTTGGTCGAGGTTTGAACGCTGAATCTTAGTATACACGATTGAACCATCCAACGCTTTCTATTCTTCATCCCGTAGGAAATCAACAACAGCTAAGACAAATCAAAAATTAGCTTGCAATCTCGAACCCACTGGACCAATGATTTACCTTTCCTAAATTCTTCAGGACGATCTTGAACAATCCAATGTCCACAATCGATGTCGACGATCTTCGACTGGGGGAAAAGGGACGAGATGAGCGGGAAAGCAGTATCAGGTATATAGTGACTCTGAAGGCCACGGAGAAACAGAGTAGGAGAGTTGAATTTCAAAAACGCGTCCTTGTCCGGGAAATCACCCAGTGGCCCCATCGCCTTCTCTAGGATATCTAGAGGAATGCGTAAATGCAAGTGAGGCTGATCCTTGCTTTTGACAAAGTTGCTTAGGAGCCATAGTCGTACCGATGGCGACTGGTTTTAGCTGTTAGCCATCTTTATGGCAATTGGCAAGCTTGCCATGCAACTTACCGTTTCGTATTCACGGAGAATCGCATCTGCTTCTAGATGAGACTTTACTTTGGCGCCCTCAGCTTTTGCCATTCCTTGAAGATACTTTGGAAAGTATGACTTCAACGGCAAATGTATTGGGCCGTTGTCGATAGCAACGACTTTCGATACGAGGTTTGGATAACGGAGAGCAAGCGTCATGGCTGTTTTTGCACCCCTGAGATCAAAGTTAGCCATGAATCATGGGAATTAAAGCCGAGGTAGAATCTATTCACATTGAGTGGCCAATCACCGCCGGGCGTTCAAGTCCATGGTTTTGGATAAATGACTCAACATCCAGCGCCATGTCGACATAGTTATGGCTGGGGTGATGGCCTGAATCTCCATGGTTTCGTAGATCCTATTCCGGAGTTAGATTTGCCAATGTGATCTGAATGAAACAGTACTAATGTGTAAACATCTCGAGAGAGCTCACTGGCCAATTTTCTGGAGAAAGGGGTTGTTAACACAGAAACACCAGCAATATAGTCCTAGAAATTACCTGCTCACAGGTCTGTTTTCTCTTTTTGATCCAAGGAACCCATGGAGAAATAGGATAGGGGCTCCCTTTCTCTCTTTTTGTACCTCTGCGCCTTTGGGGGAGCTATGCAATTCATAGGCCAGTGGGACTCTTGCTGCCGCAGACCCAGCTAACCCTCGCTTGAACACGATTTGTTTGACGTTGATCTTGAACATGAGACCTAGTGTTAAGTAAAATGGTTATATCAAGGGCTGTGGGAGATTTAAGTGAGTCAACACCTTTGTGATAGTTTTCTAAAGGTTTGGATGCCAACATGCCGAACATCTCGGCAGCTATATATTTCGCCGAAAGTGGGTCACCAAACAAACTCCAGCCTATATATAATCTACATGATGAGCTCCGCATTCGAAAATGGGCAGAAAAGAGGCAAAAAAGACAGGCTAAAGTAGGGCGAAAATAATATTTGAACATTATACTCGTTTCGAGGCTTCCATGTACTGTCCAATACTTCATCAGTGGCATTGTATACACATCTATGACCACAATTGTATATCATCCATTGGACACCGCAGATGATCGAATAATGGCATCGAATTTTGTAATTTGTACTAGCTGATAGGTACCTATCTGATAGTTTGTTTTGACGCTCCAGGTTGGCTCTCTCAGATGTATGAGAGAGCAAGAAGTGGTTGGTGATATATCGGACCATCAAAGGGGCCAGTGATTTTAGAGACCAGAAAGTTCATGGATTCCTTTCATTTAAGCAACAGCAATGGCATTCGACCGCTGTTCGACTGGTCTCATAGTTCATAGTTCGGATAGTCCGAGGTCACGTGAAATCATGACGTAAGGTGACTATCGAATCAACAATCGCATCTCACTTCCTTGTCCATCTTCACTTTCCAAATTATCCCATGGAGATACGCGGCTTGCACATTTCACAATGAGGAAGACATTGCTTCTCGTGTTTATCCACGGCTTCAAGGTATGATCTTCTGCATGCCCATTGTTGACATGATTCCCCGCAAAGGATTCCGCTCTCCGCACCAGCACATGCATTAGACTCTGTCGCAACAACTGGCTGACCACTTGACTCTAGGGTGGTGATGATACGTTTGGCAACTTTCCGGAGCATTTGCGCGTCCTCGCAAGCAAGGCGTTGCCTGCTGTCGATATTGTTACAGCTGTCTACCCCAAGTACGAGACTAAAGGCGACTTGAAAGAATGCGTGGGGAGGTTGCGTGACTGGTAGGATTCCATTTTACTTTCAAAATAAAGCCTTGCTGACTGATTGCTTTTTAAGGCTGCAAGATACTGTGATCGATCTCGAAGTCGCCAACCACACCGCATCGCCCACTGTTGATCCCTCCGTTCATGTTTTTCTGATCGGTCATTCAATGGGAGGAATAGTAGGAGCCGAGGCTTTGCTTTTATTAGCAGCCGAACAACCAATCCCCCACAATCCGACTTCCAATACAGAACCTGGGTCAAGTAAGACCGACCCTGTCGTGGAACCGGGTACATTCATGTTCCCTCATGTCCAAGGAGTCCTTGCTTTCGATACTCCATTCTTAGGTATAGCTCCAGGAGTCGTGTCTTATGGCGCAGAAGAACATTATCGCAATGCTGCCACTGCCTACAACACCTTTTCAGAGGTTGCAGGATTGTTCGGATACGGCGGAAAAAGCAATGCCTCGGACAAGTCGCCTAACCCTGCGCCTCCAAAAGAATCACCCCAAGCGTTGCCTTCAGCTGATGCTGCTGCAACACCTCCCTGGCAGAAATGGGGTCGGTATGCCATGTTTGCCGGCGCGGCTGGTGCTGTTGCTGCTGGTGGTGCAGCTGCCATGTATACCCAGCGACAAAAGCTTACCGACGGGTTTACATGGGTATCATCGCATCTTGAGTTTATCGGCTGTCTTGCGCGTATTCAAGAGCTGCGCCAGCGTCTGGTGCGTCTTTCGTGTGTGAAGGAGGAACGTGGAATTGGTTGCGTGAACTTTTACACATGCCTTGGAAAGGGTGCATCTTCTCTTGTGGAGAACACATCAGCAAGCCAAACATCTTTCAGTCAGAAAATTATTCGATCGAAGAACAGGACGTTCTGTTCATTACCAAAGGAAGTGGAAAATGGAGAGGAGTCTCAAAGCCCAGGGCTTCTCTGGAACAAGGCTGTCAACGATCAAGCCACTGACGAGGTGAATGCGCACATCAACATGTTTTTATCCAAGCAGAACCCTGCGTTCTTTGAGATGCTCAATGAAGCATGCGCGGTCCTGGTGAGGTCAATTGACAAAGGCTGGTACAATTCGTCCACCCAGCCATCCAAGGCCGATCAGTCCAACCAACCAGGCACGAAAGCCAAACCAGATGAGGACTTCATGGATGCTGACGACGTGGTGGTCGTTGACTGAGATCATAAGCACCGATTTGCTGGACTGACAGTTCACCCTTTGTTTTATTGCAATGGAAGGTTCTACATGGAACCTAAGTGATCTCTCTCCTGATCGGCGGGTCATTGCTTAGACTTCGTTCCGCGTGCACTGCATTCCAACACATAACGAATAGCATGCGGAGGAAAACGGTTACTGCGGTAGCAACTTATTCTCCGCAGACAAGCCAAGCCAAGTAACCGCTTTGATTATTCCGCAGCTGTCCAGACCACAGCATAGCTGCCGTGTTCGCAGTCTTCTACCATTCTTAGCAGTCATGCCCGAGATCGTCTCTGGACTCTTCCTTCGGTTGGTGAAGATCCTGCCACTTGTTTCACTTTCTCGATGATCGTCTTTTCCACCGATCCAATCTGGATCTGGATTGACGTGACCCACGAGACTCGGGATTTGCTCGGCCAGACTAGCCGTATACAGCCAGTGAAAGACCAGGGACTTGATACGTGATAACATTTTCAAGTTCAGTCGCGCCTCTTACGCCGCTTTGCATAGCTTGCAGGCATTCCGTGCCTACACCATTCCTGTTCCAGGGTCCAATTTAGGGTGATTGCTAGGGCAGATGAATTGCTCGGTAACTTCTTCCTGACTGGATTTAGCGCTTGGATGACACGGGGATGGGCGAAGTCTGAGACATGGAGAAGACTATCATCTTTCGGAAGACTTCCACCAAATTGCATGATGCAAGACATCGCAAATTACGATACCAATTGATACAGGAAAATAGCGAGATAGAAACCAATTGATTGTGTCTTGTATTCGCTTGCAAGTGGTATTCTAGACCCGCAATAGCCCGTACATTCCTGTCCCCATAACGCTATCGGTCGACCGAAAAACCGGATTGAGATCGCCATGAACCGTGCTCCATCGCCCATCGCCATTGAATACCTTGGAAATCCTGCCCAGATAAATTTTATGTGATTATATAATATGTCGCTATGGCCGAAATAACGCTTTAATGTAGCTAGAAATATTCACTGAAAAGGAAAGAATAAGATATCATGAAGTCAAGGGTCACATGTAAAGTGCAAAATGAAAAGCAAAATGAAAAGCAAAATGAAAAGCAAAATGCAAAGCAAAATGCAAAAATCAGTAGTTGTGAGGGCCGTAATTGGAAGTGCGGTGGTGGTACATGCTGCCTGCATACTCGGAGTTGTTGTCTGGGTAGACAGTGTTTCGACGGTCTTCCTCTGTCAGCAACTCCTTAACTTCCCATGTGTTCGGTTTGACGCCAACGGAGAATTCCAGATCCTCCTTGGTAATGGAGTCCCAGAACTGGAAAACGTCAGTGAAATGTATACCACAAAATCATGAAGCCGGCTTACCTTGTAGATCATCATAACAGCCAGGAGATTGCAGAAAGTAGCGAAGAACAGGCCATCCAGGTAATGCTGGACATTGTTGCAAATGACATCGCTGAATTGGTACAGGAGAACCTGACCAATAATGAAGACCAAGACACCGAAGGAGATGTGCCCGAGTGGCCAGCGGTCATCCAAAGTGTTGGCAACAAGAAGCAGTTGCATGGCCAAGTAAACAGCGATGGAAATAGCGTTTAGCAAGTAGAGCACGACGAACAAGCCGGTTGTATTCTTAGGTCCCATTGAACCCCAGGACTTGAATGTCGCCAGCGAGATCACGAACGACACTGCAAACATGGCTGCGGAGGGGACTCGGATAAGCCATACGGAGAGAGCTGTGCCGTCTTCGTACAGTTGGAAGCCCACGAATCCGTTGACGAGTAGACACGTGCATAGCGCTGATATCAAGCCATTCTGGACGGCCACGAAGTACGGGAAAGGGCCGCTACCCGGAGGAACGACACCTGCATCAATGAGAAGTGAGAATAGGGTGAGGGCAAGATAGATGTAGAAAAAGGTAATGATCTCCTTGCGACCTATCAACATCAAAATGGTTAGCCATGTAAACATGCAGGTGTAGACAGCGGGGTGAGTAAGACTGACCGACAGCTGTGAACTTGGATCTGACATGCAAAATCATGATCACAGTCATGGCAAGGGCGATGATATGCATGAAAGATGCAGCACCCTCGAAAATGATAGTATTGGCGACCTCAATATTCCGCGCATAGCAATTCGATATGATGCCCGTGGACCCGGAGATTGATGACGCCGGGCCGATCAGGGAACACAAAGGGACCGGCGCCTTCTCGCATATCGTATCGAACGAACCGAAACCCATGATGTCTGATGGGATGCCGAGCAGTGCGACAGTAAACGAGTGGATTGCTGTTGCGGGTGGTCACAAAGATTGTCGAGCCGGGACGGCTGGTCTCCACAACGACGGAGGTGGGACGGTGGAGGAGAGAAATGTCGGGATTTACGGTTCCCCCGACAGCAGCGTGGCTCTTCTGCACCCCAGCAAAGCTGTTTCACTCAAATTATCCCTGGGTACGAGCGTCGAAGGTCGGATGGCCCCTTGTTGTCAGGGGAAGCGAGGGGGAAGTGTCTCAGTTTTCGCCATGAATAGATCACGGGGTCTGAAAAGGGTGGACTATTTTTCCGCTACCTAGTTGGGCTTAGCGTACTTGCTGGGCACTTTTTCCCCAGAGCCAAATCGTGCTGAGTCAGCTCGGACACGAACCCGAAGTCGGCAACGCTAGACCGAACGTGAACTAGCTTATGGATGCCACGTGACTAAGATCCAAACTTGACGAACTAGTCGTCCTGAATTCTTTATACAATCTACATTGTTTAACCCGAGGCACTCGAAAATGGGTAAAAAAGAGCTGAAAAAGAGAGGCCAAAGGAGGGCGAAAACAATGCATGGAACGGTACACTCGCTTCGGGGCTTCCGCGTAGAGACTGTCCAATATTTCATGGCACTGTATACATACGACCCCTGTACCAAAATGCGCATGGCAAAATAGTCCAGGGTCAAGAGTTCATTTTGGTGCCTCGGCCAAACTACTTTTAAGAGTCTGACAACGTTACCGATGTACCGTAACCCACCGAACCCGCGAATCCCAAGCTATTTCAGACTATAGTATTTAGTCTCTGTCCCCACATCGCGATAGACTTGCGATTCGATAAGACTAGCACGGCGCTACCCCGTTCAGTGCTGTCTACGGCATTATTATTGGACTGTGGCCTAACGGTCACTGGAGAGATTAAGTATGACCAGGTTTAGCTTGCTTTGGGCCGAAAGCAAAAAAATCTCTTCTTTCCCCTTACTTTTCGTTGGGTTACTGACCCCCCGACTACCGACGCTAAGTACGATTGCAGTTGGACTTGGGACGGAGGACGGACTGTCGAATTAATCGAATTAGACTTGCCCTGCATGTGGATTGACCTTTTGTCCCCACATAACCTGCGACTCGGGCACTTGTCGCACCATCGCCCGGTTTTCTCTCGCGTGTTCCAGGGACTGGCACATAATTTAGTTCACGTAGATCTCCCCTCCCTTATTTACTCAGCTGCCAACTGCCCTAGATGGGCTCACTTCTTCTACCACTACGCAATCTTGCAGAAAACGACAGTTTGATATTAATATTGGAACAGTTCCCGGCAAAGGGCCCATTTCATCACGGACGGTGGATCGCACTAACGTGAGCAATTGCACCACTTGTATGGAACAGACTTGCTGGTGGGTGTATTGTAAAACGATACATGGCCCAATGCCGATGATCGACCTCCGAACGATTCGGAAGTAAGTGAAATGAGTGTCCACTTCGTCATGTTTCAGCTGAGACGTACGTCTCCCGTGGGGCATAGCTTTTCAGATTTCCGATCCTGGAGTATGCCGAACGGCTCTTACGCTGTCCTCATTTGCTCTGATTCGCGGCTAAGTCTTGCGAGATTATTCATCGGTCTCCGTATACTCGGTACATATCACTGAGCATGTTTTACTCTGCATGTACTGTACTACCTTGAGTGACCCTAGATAGTCAATCTCTTTCCTAGAACAGTTTATGGTCCCTTAGCCAAGGCAGCATCTATGTGCCTTTTACGAGTGTCACGGCATGATCTTCATGATGCCTAGAAATTGTCTATTCCTCCTGTTTCGATCGGCCGACTACCCATACAAGGTTAGGTATACAACTAAAATTGATCTCGGCCCCGGTCGGTTAGAGCTATCCCCACCAAACGTGAAGTGGCAAGTTATGTGATGGCGTTACTCCGTATAGAGGCTGAGACCTCAAAGTACTTCATTAATTACCCTTTTTGCCCCCAAAGCCCCGAAGTCAAATAAAATGCCTCAACTGATTGGGGCTTGTAGCCCGCTTGAATGCCCAACGCGTCAAACAGACCCAGCCTGGCATGTACAAGGTTACTATCATGGAACTATCTCGGAAGAATAATACGATCGATTCTCCGTGGTTGCCTGATCCAACAGCAGGACTTGAGACACGAGATCGGAGGAAGCGTACTTTAATCTCATCGAGCTCTCATAGAATGAGACATTTGAGACCGTAATTGCTGTCTCATGCATGAAGATCCCGACTAGCGCCACATGTGAGTTGAAGAAGCATCAACGGCTGCGAGGAACCGTGTCGATCCCTCCCCGGATGTATCATGATGCATCATAGGGAGGTCCCTGATGACTCAAAGATACATCCCCTAACGGTCATACAGATTAAAGCCACGCTTTATGCAAGACCCGCTTGACAAGGATAGGGGGTGATGGTGGGGAGCCGTGCAGTACTATATACTGCATTTTTACCTCTGAATTAAAGTAAATTTCTTCGAGTTCTCGATTTTACTTTTTCATTTTTCGTTTCCGTTTTGATTCTTTTCCATTTTTCCCATTTTTCCCATTTTGTTTTATCTGTTCCCACCATGTCGCCCTCTGGGCATCGAACCCACTCTCCAGAACTACTCTTATATCCTCGAGTCTCTGCGACTCGTTTTTTTAGTTTAGTTTCTTCTCTTGGCTATATACAGATGGAGGACATCCACGTTCATACTCCCGCAGTCCAATCTGTCATACTTCAATTGCATTGAACGCCTACCCTCTTCCTATTGCAACTGGCCCTCCTGACCCAGTCCCTCCGATGGGATCGCAATGTGCAACTATTTCCATATCTATCACGTATATTCCTCCTGCAACCATCCCTCTTTACACTTCGTCCGTATGGAAACGGAGGGAAACAAAGATGTTTGCTGCAAAGACGGGCCCCATGAACGACTTGTCATGATAATTGGCAAATGCGACATTTGCAGCCGCGGAAGATGAAACCTACGATATTGGAGAAATCAAAGTTGAGGGTTTCCCTAAAGTTTCCAACCCGTTTCTTGCCCGTGGTTCCTTGGCGGGGATAACCCTCTCGCAAGGAACTATTCGGGTACAGCCGACCCTCCACATCGCGGCTCTCCAACATTCCAAATCATTGATGTGATCATGATCGTCCTAAAATTCTTTGTTGATTTCGACCCTAAGGTTTGCATTTTGGGGGGGCATTTATCTGGTGTTCAAAGCGGGTTGATTGTATTTTTGTTCCATCGTCTCGTTTAGCGTCAATCTTTTGAATTTTTGGCGCCAAAGGGTAAATGGGTATGGCGTCCACTAAAAGGGAACATTTCTGGTTTTTGGGCCCTTGGTTCCCAGGACAGTCTTCGAAAGCGTTTGGTTTATTTGTTCCAAGATTCCCTGTGTTAATATAACTTCCACTTGATTTTTAAGGACCAAAAGATAGAAATAGTAGGAATGGTACAAGCTGAATTACTAAATCACATGCTTGCTCTGGAATTATGCAGAACGGCTATCTTGTGGCTCTCAACTCCCGAACCACATTGTCTTCTAGATCCAATTCCTTCAGTCTAGATCTCCAGGGGCCGCATGTGCGACGTGGTCGTTGTTTCTTCCATATAGGCCTAGGCCAGGGGGGAAAGAAGGGAGAGGAGGGGGACGCGCCACGGAGAAAAAAAAAAGTTTAAGTTCCATGACGACAGCTACTTCGGAGATACTTCTAGCAATGCTCGGTCCCACACTCTGCAAAAGAATCACTATCTACCCGAATGTCCTCTCGTGCAGTTCCGGTCCGTTAGCAACGGCGCCTCCCCGAGTCCGTGCTTTTTCAAGTATGTATATGGCATGTCACTTTGATGAACCTAATTACTTCATTCGCTGTCTATCAAGCGATAACATAGTGTAGAATACCCTGGGGCCAGTTCCCCAAAGTCAAGCCCGCTTTCTGCACTTCCACGCAATCTCCGATTCTCCGTGAGCTCCGGGGGTTACTGTGCAAGTACGTAAAGCTTCAATGCTATACATAACTCCGGTCCTAAAATATTTCCTACAGCCTTTTCATGTGCTATCAAAAAGTCTCGAGTTTACTTCCCCTTTCATCTACACTTGGAGCGCCAGTACTATCTATGCACCCCTGTAATTTCCCCTGTAATTTCCCTGTTTATCCGGCAAACGGTACTTAAGTCAATCCCGTTGAAAGTCGTTCTATGCAGGATAACCGGTTAAGATAACTTGCAAGGTACCGGGAACGGCAGGGACCATGGAGGGGTAGGGGAATCCATGCAAGTACTGAGACCCCAAAGCGGATAGGCATACGGGGCCCAGAGAATAAGGGCAAGTTAGGGCTTCCCACCTAAAAGACCCGAGGCGGTGGATCAATAAGCGGGACCTCGGGACCATCGGTCGAGCCGAGTGAACGCCAGGTCTCCAGGCCTGGATCGTTTGTAATCAATTTCCGTTACCTACTCTACCAAGGTTTAATTCAGTCGAAACTATAAATCAATCAGTTTGCGTAACCTATGTACAACTTCCCCCCATCTAGTCACGCCATTTCATGTATTTCGGGAAATGAGCCGACTATCTGGGCTTCCTTCTTCCGCGCTAGGGCTGCGCATTTTCTCCATCTTCCCGCATGGACTGCATTTAATCCAGCGCCATTGCGTTGTCCGTTGTTTATTCGTCCAATGGCTGTCTTGGCTGTTTTGTGATCAAATAGAATTGTTAATTGGTCTGACTTGGATGAGCTTGTATGCCGTGTCGGGCACTTATTGGAAAAGGAAACAAGGCAATAGCAGGCTCTAATATTAAAGCGCTTTCTGTTAAGAACTGCAAGTACCTTAACATACTGTATTCTAATTATGCCATCCCTGAAGATTATGGAGGCATGCCGGCGGCTGAATCGGGCAACGGGCACGGATGGTGATCTATTCGAGATATGCCGGGACGTTATTATATTTAATTTGTTTTCAGTTCCCTTTTTTCGTTTTTGTCTCGCGACGATGGCACTTACCGCGCCTGTGATCATGCTATCTTGTTTCCACATGTACCTGATAACGAACTTAGAGGTAGAGGGCCCCTGCGTACCCTACTTTCTGAGCCTGCATGGTTAGGGCTGGACCTCTGAGCTAATATGGCCTGGTGCTTTCACATGTTCCCAACCTTTTACTCTACATGTACGCATGTACACTGCCACCTCGAAATTGTTGAATCGCATGTCTATATCGACACGAGTTGAGACAATCCAAAACATCACGTTGATTGCCGTCTTTTCCAGGTATTGCCCTATTTGTCTAGTGCCAAGCAAAACTGCACTATATGCAATCTACCACTGGGGTATATGACCGAATGCCGGTGTACCCTAGCTCAACAACCGCGGCGCTAAGAGCCACGGCTAATACCTGGTCTGGACACTGACCATCGCTCTACTCAGCCACCGACAGGGACCCCATGTTTCGGGGAAATTGCTCATGGGCTGTTGCTGGCCTTTATAAAATCCGTCCATTCAACCCAGCTGGATAGAAATGGTTCAGGGGTGTAACCGCACTTGATTTTTCAGTTATTTGCTTCTGTAGCTTGCTTGATATTGTGGCGTCAGTGAAATAATTTGGGGATGGAAATCTTGCGATTCGTTGGTATAGCCATCAAACGTTCTTCTAAACTGGGCTAAATTGGCTAACAAGCCATTTATTTAATTCAGTGGAAATTGTTATTATTTCACTTCGGGATTTCATTTGCCTTTACGTATCCGTATTAGGATGGCTTGTATCAGTATAAATTAAAGGATGTCCAGCAATACTCCGTAGTGTTGCAATCAAGGCAACAGTGAAGATACAAATCCTTAAGGATTCAGGTAGCAACAAAGTGGAGTGTACTTTTGGCCTTCCAAACTCCAAACTGATCCCCACTTAAGGCCCAGTTTCAGCTTCACTTGCAGCTTGGCATATAACTTGCCAACTCCACGTTCTGCACCTCTCCCATTAGATCTGATTCCGTGATGGGTCTGATGCGAACCTTATTTGGGCAATATCAAAAGCTACAAGCCACTTCAACACAGTAAGCTTCAACCATAACTCTTGATAGAGCACATCCACACCACCATTCAGCCATAATCTGGTTCCAGCACCACATTTTGCCGCAAATCGAGTTTTCGGGTGGAGTCCCGAAGCCACAACCGTTTACCCACCTTTCCAAGAGGGGCCGGTCATACGTAACCTCGAAATCAATAGCAAATAGAAATGAGTGCGAACAAATCCCGGTATACGTCCGACTCGGAGTTCGGATAGCCTGACGGCAGTTGTTCCAAGCCGTCTATCAATTGTCTTGTCTAGCACGGAGATGGGCCCGCACCTATCTCCTTTCGAATTGACATCATAATCTAACTGCCGTTCGTATAGCTGGGCACGGGTAAATAGATGTAGATCATTTCATCATCTGCCAAGTCGATCACTGTTTTGGATTTTGAATTCTGATTTAGCCGAGTATCTAGTCTAGTGCTCTAAGTCCCCTTTTGCCCCCACAATTTGTGGAAGGGTCTATCCCGTGTCTTCGTCACGTCACGTCACATCCACTATAGTATTTCATTGAGGGAATACGCAAGCTGTTCAAGGATCCGTCATGGATATATTCCATGTATATGGCGGGAACAAGGAAAATAGATAGCGCAGGAAATATTCCTATTCGATGGATTGCGAGCGAATCAGATAATTAAATTAATATGCAAGTTTTTGGATAGGAGCCGGCTCCAAATATCCCTTATGGAATCTCTAATATCGGATGATCTAGCATAAACCTCTGATTGTCTGGATATAAATGCCGGCATTAGTCTTACATATACATCACGGGGTACCCGTGGACATGTATGTGTTCTGTGGCAGTCCGACGATCGGTTTCCTTTTCTAGGTCTTCGCTTCGGAAGGGTGGGCACGGCTGGGTTTTATGAAAGGGTTTTCAGTTTCTTGTGTTTGGCGTGGGGGATTCTTGCGGGATATGATGTGGCATCTTCGATCTTTTGTATTTTCGCAGCTTGGGTTGGTAGAACGATTAATTGCAGAGTCTGTAGAGAACGGTAGTGGGAAGGCTACTGTGGACATTACTGTCTAGGCGCGGTTTGAATGATTTGGACCGCGGTACATTAAAACAACAACACATTATAATTTTAGCAGAAAATTTCGAAAGTAGCTATAGGCAGTAGATAACAGACTCCAGCAGTAGATAATGGACAATGCCTTCACTCTGGATATCATAAAGCAAAACAGGTGAAACAACCAAACAAACGATACAAGATACGAAATTGACGCAGGTACAAACATAGAAAACAAACCACCACGCCACCTAATCTATCCCTAAAACCTCACTTCAGGCCTAATAAAAAGCGCCTTCCGCACAAAAGGCGGTGGAAGCGGACTATACCGAATCGGACCCTGCTTTCTAGGGCCCTTTATAAGAGAAGGAAACGACAAGGGCGATGCTGGCAGATCAATATGCAAACTGAGAATAGAAGAAACCCTCTTCCGATCAAAGGTTTGGCTTTTTCCACTGCCTGATTTGGATGCGAGTGTTGAAACTGATGGTGTTGGGGTGTGGGTTGGTGTTTGTTGATAGGAGACTGTTATTAGGCTAGTGAGGTAGTGGAATGTTTCTTCTTCCTCGGCTGGTTCGACTTCGGCCTCTTCGGAGGTATGTGTAGAGGGTTCTTCATTGGATTGATGTTCGTTGTTGGCGTTGTTGCTCACTGTAGCTGCCAGGGCAGCTGGTCGGTTGACAAGTATCTCCGTTTCGTTTTCGTTGCAATGAGATGGTATTGGGTGGGAGGAGAAAGTAACATTTGGGAGCCTGGATCTAGGGCTTTGGCCCTGGTTCTCGAGGTTTCGTCTGTTGTTCTCCTCGAAAGTTGAAGTTGTACAGGGTGTTTTTCCGGAGTTCGACCCCCGTTTTCGATACCAGAGCTTTCGCAAAAGGAAGGACATGATGAGGTGTATAGACTGATAGAAGCAATAATTAGCACTATGATCAGGAATTTCAGAGACTTCACTCACAACTTGAATCAAGGCGAAGAATATACCTTGACGAGAATAATCTTACAATGTTGAACTAGTCTCTCAAGCCCAACTATATATCTAAACAGTCTACTCCACAAAGCCTCGGCCCAAACCAACACTACAACCCAAACAAGCACGAATCCGCCAAACACCGAAAAGAAATTAAAATCGAACCGAATCTGAAACACCAACCCAACATGCATACAGTATACCTTTCCAAGAACAATTCCCTGACTACCGGATAATTCGAGTGTCAGCCAAAATTAAGTTTACAGTAATCAGGAACAGGAACAGGAACAGAAACCCAAACACAAACCACGGTCTCCTGCCTCTCTGGTCAACATGCAGCGGGGGCACATGCAAGTTCCCTACTCAATATTCCAAACCGCAATTATTTCAATATCCTCTAAAACCGTTAGATCTTTGTGGGGTGATAGATCCAATACCGGGATGGAAAACAAACGGATAGATAGACGTCAAAACATACTCGCGGATCATCCCGTACATAGATCCTAGCTATCGATTGAGTTCAATTAGGTTTAGGCTACCCTTTAGCCTTTGTAGATCAGGGGATTGGAGTGGGTGGATCGGATCGGAGAGTTGGAGCTGGTTTGGAATTGGGCCAGGCTTTGATTACTTTCGGGGATTATGGTCTGAGATTATAGTCTGGCTGTTTGAATTTGGAAACTGGGGATCATAGTAGGTTATACTGCATATATACCTTTGATAAGATGTCGTGGTTTATTCACGTTCAAGTAAGCTAAGCGTGAGTTGAGAATGCATCATTGAACATATATATACTCCGTAGATATAGGATGTAGTAATAAAAATAAATCACTGAGTCTTCGGATCCCGAACCATGCAGTACAACTAAACAAANAAAAAAAAAAAAAAAAGAAAATAGGTTAGCCAACATCCCAGATTAACCCCCAAACCAAAAGAAAGGAAAAGGAAAAGAAAAAGAAACATACCATACAAGCATCTCCCCCATCCCGACACTCCATCTCCAACGCCATCTCAAACCCCATGCGCTGATAGATAGCAACATTAGGCACATTCTTCGAACTCTCAAGATAACACCTCCTCCCCTCCTCATCCGCACGTTTAGTAACAGCCTCAAACAACATCCTCCCAACGCCCTTCCCCTGCGCATCCGGACTAACAGCAACAATATTACAGAAATAGTAACCCAGCGGATCATTCCAGATCTGTTTCTGCGCTTCTGCCTGCCGCTCTTTCCAGATCCAGTACCTGTTCGTGCGCAGCCCGCCGCGGCCTAGGTATCGAATGTTGTTTGCTATTTGGGAGAGGGTTAGAGTCCAGTTTTGGACGGTGCTGGTCCATGTTTCCGGGGTTGAGGCTGGGTTTGGGGGGAGCCAGCAGGATACGCCTAGGATTTGCTTTGTGGTGGAGGATGGTGGCTCTGTTTCTTTGGCGACGTGGAAAATTGCATTTTTGATTCCCCAGCGACAACGTGCAGCGAGGGAATCGTAGTTTCTTTGTTTGTTGAACTGGATATTGTTTTCTCTCTGGGATGTAACACGGCTGGTTTGAACCAGGACGCGTTACAGAGAGAGAGGGGTGTTAGTCTTTTTGTTTCTGATTCAAGAGTATATCCGATACACGTATACATGTAAATTGTAGACACACACAAACTGAATACAAAACTGCATTCCCTCTCCCCTCTAGTAACAGTAACAGTACATACCTTATCCTCATCAAAAACCCACTTGAAATATGGATCGTCAGTGAAAGCCTGCTGAATCACCTCGATAGCGCCAGGGATATCCGCCTCCGTGAGGGGGACGACTTCAATGGCCATACTGAGAGGCTCAGAGAAGTAGAGGATGGAACGTGAAATGTGGGAATGTGGAAGCCTGGATATGGATAGGATATTGGCAAGTATTGAGATTGCGATTGTGAGAGATAGGCGAATGTCGCTACGGGAAGATGCCCCGCGGTCAATGTTGATAAGGGATTGTCTCTGCTAAATCTGTTCCGGTTTGTACTGGGATTATTAGATTTGGGTGTTGTCATGTTGGGGATTTTGTTTGATGGGGGATTATAGGATTGTAGCATACCCTGTAATGGATATAGAAGGTTGAGCCAATCAGTGGTCTTGAGCGGGGTGGGCTATAGATCCTGCAGGAAGAGCCTAGGCGGAGAGGGGGCCGGAGGGGGGTAGGAGTGGGGGACGCAGATTGGTTGAAGTTTGTGTTCAAAGAGAAAGGATTTAAGAAGAAGAGAGAGTAGAGCAGCAGAAGAAACAGAAATCGAAAAGAAAGCCGAGAGAAAAGTGAAGATTGAATGTGGGGAGATCTAAACCGGGGAAGGCAGTTGGATGCGGCGCTTATCGCTGACACATCTGACCCTCATCTACTATCTACTATCTATTGCCTACACTGAGCAGTTGAAAAGATCTAAAATGGAACGCCTTTTGTCCGCATGAATATCAACAACTCATAACCCAATGGTAAAAACCCAACCCACAGGCAGATCTATAGATGAGATAGCTGACCTTAAGCCCTCCAGACACCAAAATATCCAAATCCCAAAAGAGAAAAGACCAAAATCCCAAAATTCCGATATAAACAAAACGATCATAACATAACTTCATTCAGAATTCGTGACAGTTTTGATAGAAATCAGCCTAGGTGCTGATACAATGTAAATCATGATTCTTGATTGAAGATCTCAAGTATCCAAGACCCCGAATCAAGATATCAAGTGAAGGGTGCGTGAATTACTGGAAATAATCCTCGATACGCACCCATTCACGCGGAACATCCATACTGCGATTAACACGGCCACCAGGCGTAAGAGGGACATCGACACGACCCCGTCCCCGATCATCATCCTCATGCTCCTCGTAGAACGATAACCGCGAGAAGTAATCTTCAAGCACACTCTCGCGATCGCCATCGCCGACGATAGTGGTGTATTCCGGCGGGGGAGTAATAAGCGGCGGAGGAGGGGGTACATCCTCAAAGGGCGGGGGAGCATAAGACGGGGCGCGGAGAAGATGCATCGGTCTAGGCGGGTTAAGCCCGCGGTCCAGGCCTGGGTTGGCGAGGTGGGCCTGTGGGGGCCTGGCGAGACCGCCCGAGCCGTTGGTGAAACTGCGGGCGAAGGTGTGCCCCGTTGAGCCGCGGCGGGCAAGATTTGGGTTGCTATCTTCGCGGTCGGAGATTGAGGGGGTTGGAATTCTATCGCGGGGCGCGGGGGGTGCGCCTGGGCAGCCGCATTCGAATTCTTGGGCTGGGGGTTCCGGGTCGGTGGCAGGGTTGGTGTAGGCTGGGAGGTAGATGTTTGCTTGGGTTGCTTTGCAGGAGAGGATGTGGAAGGGCGAATCGATGGAGATTTCGAAGTGGCGACGTTTTGTGGGGTCTCTTTCGTCGACCTTGGAGAGGCGGAGGACGATCTGGGTTTGTTAGTATGGGTGAGAGGTGGTGTGGAATGGGGATGGGTTGCTTACCTTGATCCAGTGGTTGATCTGGATGTTTTCGTATGTTGTGTCGAAGTGGAGGCGCTGGCCTTCATCACGGCCCTTCATTTCGTGGCAGCTTGGGAGTTGCACATTGAATTCCATTTCAGTCGGACCGACGCCGGAGTCGTTGGATAGATTGCCCAGCAGATTCGTTCGGTTTCGATCCACGATCTCCTCGCCTCTTGCGGCGGCTGCGCGGTGATCCCAGTCGATGCCGCCGCCTGCAGTGACACGCATGGAGCTACCGGGGTATGTGCTCACACTAGACGAGTCGGCGCGTTTCTCAAACAGCAGAACCTTCTTCGCTGGTTGCAAGCGATGGACACTCTTGTCTGCAGTCCAGTGCTGAATGTTCTCCGTCACGTACACCTTGATGCGGTGACATTCCACTTTCGCGAGTGGTGTCAACTTGAACGCAATCGGGATCTGCGAGCCCAACGGGAACGACTTTCCTGAGATGACAATGTCATAATGTAGTTGGTCCTCCCAGTTCCGTGAGATCGCAATCGGCTCGACTTGTTCCAGCGATCCCTCGGCCGGAGTGCGGATCACTGGAATCTCCATGGTGCCCAGAAGGTTGGGTCGGAACGCGCCTGATCGTTCTACCATCGCTTCCAGGTCATAACGTACAGATCCAAGATCTGTTTTGATCGTCTCGGGCAATGAGCCGTCGATGGGGAACTCGAAGCTGTAGAGATAATCGCCCACAGGGAACATGCGGTAGTTGCGCTGAGGCTGGGGTTGGGTGGTCGGGGGCTCATTCCTGCTGAAACTGCGCGAGTGGCCGCGATTCGTCTGCAGGGAGAGGCGCTTGGTTTCTCGGCTGGTAGGTGGAGCGAGAGTAGTGACGGAGCTTCGGTTGGAGAAGAGCTCTCGAGTTGACATGGTCACTACATCCTTGCCTGGTACGGCTGATATCGGTTTGGCGTGCTGGTAGTAATGCGCGCCGTAATCATTCTGCATGAGAGCGGTATCGCCGTGGTTAAAGTAGATCACGCCGTGAGTGACAAGATCCTTCTTATCGTGAAAATGAATCTTCTTGGGCGGGATGCCTGCACAAGGGTTAGTTGATATCGAGACGTGCAGTGAGGTCTGGACATACCATCTGGCCAGTCGGTCTGGGCATGGCCGCGGAAACAGATCGAGATCTTCTTGATCTTAATGCACTTGGTCACTTTCAAATGTAGTTGTCCACGTAAAATAGCGGACTTTTTACTACTCGGGTCATGCTGGTCATAACCCTGCAAATAAAGCACCGGCTCTGTCAGAGCGATGCCGACAGAAATCCCACTGCCAGTAGCAACAATCTTCTCATTATGTAAGGGCGTAAATGGTGTGGTCAAATCAGACGACGAGACATCCTGATCCGACACAGTCCGGGGCATCACGTCCGTAGTGGAGGAGGATTCGGAACGCATATCGGGATCCAAGTCGACCGATGTCGGTGGGGAGGAAGCGATGATAATCTCCGAGACTGGTCGTACACCACGCGGGGTAAGGCGTAGTGAAGGCGCCTGGACTCCAGACGAGCGCAAGCGAAGGAACCGCTTCGCGTTTTCACGTGGCCCCGCCAGCTTTCTGAGGATCGAGTCCCTGCGACTCTGTTTCGGGAAGGTTACCTCGCGGGAGAGGGAATCGAGGGAATCGAAGCACACGGTCTGGCGACGAGCCGACCGGGATGGTAGAAAATTGGAGATGGTTTCCGTTAACGAGGGCGTTCCTGTGAAGTTCGAGTGGGTTGGACTAGTTGTTGCTGACCGCGAGCTCAACTGCGCGGGCAGCGGGAGGACGTTAGCTCCCATCATCTTGCAGGGTTGGGCATCGTGAAAGGAAGAGATGGGAATCCCATCTCATAGTCCCAGAGGAAGGGAGTTCTAGGAATGTTGACAAAGACTCACCTTTGTGAAACCTGTCCCCCTTGTGTCCCTTCAAAGTAAGGAGTAAAAAGAAGCCCTGGAATTCTTGGGGTGTGGACTTCATAAGCGGTCCCAGATCATCCCGCAGATCCTTTTAGATGCAGGACTTGGCCGTGAGGGGGAATAATTGTGGTTTTCTTTGGCAAATGCCTCCAACTATAGTAGAAGAGTATAAAAAGCAAAAGAGGCGAACTATTAAAAAAGCCAAAGGTGCCCCGATCCACGGGATGGGCCCAAGACAATGACAACACCATTAACAAAGCCACGGCTCATTTCCGGCGATCCGATCCATTGGGCTCTCTGGAGAGATTCTCCGTATAAAGCGGATCGAACGGCCTTTAGTCCCTCAAATCTTCTAACCATACGGTACTAATGCTCATTCTATGTAGGTAATGTATTCACGGCATTCACGGCATCTACGGCATCTACGGGTAGTTCGGGTAGAAGTCTGCGGGGATGATCAATTGTAATATCCTTATATACAACCAGGCTATGATACTTCAGTTATGTGGTATAAATCCTCAGGTGGGAACTGTATTCTCGGAAATATAAGTCTCTACTTAATCGTAGGTATGATCTAAGAGTACGCGCAATACTGGTCACATGGATCAGCCATCAGCCACTGGAGGAACCTTCCTCGGGAAAGTCTGGCGATCCATACATGGACATGTGCAGTAATTCATACCCTTCAACGTCTTATAATATTCATTATATGCACTTCTACACTCCTTAACCTAGGCATACATTACATGACGACACGCATGTGCTTGACAACTGTTGAACTCGAGTAGTACCTAGAATAGGTAGTCCCGTGCCGATGACCTCATCAGCCATGGGCATGAGGCTAACTTAACTAACAACTTTAACTCCTCACACTGACAAGACAACGGGCCAGAATTAGAGGTCAAACCCCCGTCTGTGCCCCAGTTCTGGATTTCCTGATAGCCAATTTCCCCTGCCCTGATTTGGATTCTCCAGGTGTGCCGATCTTCAATCGGGCCTGCCTCTTACGTCATTGGGGTTCTTAACACCGCTTTTTGGCTCCGAATACCTTATTCTTTAAGGGGAGCTTAGCATTAGAGTTATTGGCGCAGTTCGCGCTTGGTTGTCATTTCCATGTGAGCTTTACAGCAGTTTCAACCTTGGTCAAAGTCGAGAGTGCCCAGGTGCCCAGGTGCCTAGGTGGGACTTCGGCTTGTGCCTAGCCTTGAGCTTTGAGTATTGTTATTTGCCGTGTCCTTTTCACGAGTATGTATACTCCATACAACGGCCCCATTCATATTCTCTGACTTGGAGATGGAGAGCTAGCACAGCCACAAGCCTGCTGGTAAAGGAAAAGGTACTTTACCTATGTCATAGGGCGTAAAGTAGAGTTTGCTATCCCCAGTGACAGGCAACGGTGTACATCTATGTGCCTTGCCATATCTCGGGTTGCAAAACACGCTAGAAGCAGAGAATGTTCCAGCTCCGTGTAAATGGGTACTAGTGGCTTGTTTATTTCAATGACTCCGCTGTTGATGCTGCCTGAAGGCAGGAGGAGGCACACGAGATGGAGCTGCAAACGTTCACATTGATACATTGAACATACTCCGGACCTGGAAGCCTCGAATTTATTTTTGCAATCCCCATTGATGGCTAATGGATATGCGGTTCACATAGCGTGCTAACCTGCGATGATCTTTCGTAAGCGCGTCTGTATCTCAAAACACGATTTGGGCCATCAAGCATTGCAAGGCCAAAACATTGGTCAGGTTACTCAGACGGTGACCTAGAGGTTACATACGGGAATATGATACACCGGGTCCGTGTCAACTTAGAAAATTGAAAGGACATGTGTACGTTACATTGTAAGCATGCCAAATTGTGGGCTCATAATTATTGGCAACATCCGTTAGATGACACATCCACTGTAACCGGTGCTAGTAGTGACTATTGAATTTTGTACTTTTATTGCCTGATCAGTGCATATGTTCCACAAGCCTACCTATATGTAGTAACGTTAAGTGCAGTAGTGAACATTAGTTTGTGTGACCTTAGGTAACAGAACTATGAGACATCCTACACATAATGTACGGAGTACCCTCCTCCAAATTACGTGTCATAGACACGAGATATGCTTGAGATCACTAGTGCCGGATGCAACTGTGCAGATCGCAGGAGACTATTTCCCCACAAGCGGCACCGGCTATTGCTAATCTGCATCTCCGGCAGTGTACATGTAGAATTCACCTCATCACCACCATCTATCATCTATCACATACCGTCGGATTAATTGAACCAATTGTCATCCAGCTCATTGACATTCATCAGACTATCCCCCTCAAGCTGATTGAAGTCGCCGCCATTTTCTCCGAAATTATCTGTGTCCATGAACAGGTCGTCAAAGTTAGATTCGGCCGGTGCCATGAAATCATCCGTAGCATTGCCTTGTAGGAAATTGTCATCCCCTTCGGTCTTTTGCAGTTCCATGTCGAATGCACCGCCACCGGTGGAGGCGGTGGCTTCCATGGGCTGTGATGTGACCGGCTTCTCGGTGGCTCCCGTGGCGCCCGCGCCGGCAAAGTTGGATCCTGACAGGAACGCTTGATTTCCCATGTCGTTATCGTTGAAGTCGAGACTGAGGTCGAAGTCGTTGGTGCCGCCCGTGTCGTTGAGAACCGAGTCGAAGTTGAGATCCTCGTTGGTGCCGGGAAATGCTGAGTCAGGTGCTTTGCTGTCGCTTTCTTTTTTGACGACTACGTGGTCATCCTGGATGTCGGGTTTGGTTTCTGGGGCTGGCTGGTTCACAGGAATCCCCTCCTCTAGCTTAAGTGCCGGTTGCTCAAGCTCCGTGCCGGACTCTACTTTCTCAACTAGGGGTTGAGCTTCAGGTTCCACTTTCTGGTTGACATCGCTCATAGCCACATCTTCGATGGGCTGAGGAACAGCGCTGGTCGCCTTGAGAGCCTCGTAGTCTTTCTCCAAGAATGCCTTGGCGATGAACTGTGGATGGTTAGCGAGGAAAAAGCAAAAATTGACTTGGAATGCATGGAGTCACGGGAGCAAGCTCCGATGTCACTCACAATTTGCTCTGACAGGTTATCCAGGGCATTTTGGAAGCTGTCATGGTAGAAAGGGATGGATCGCTGTACATGGGCTCTGGACGTCATGGAACCCGACTTACGAAACACACGACCGGTGTCAAGGAGCTAGAGAGTGTCAAGCTGTGTGTATTGAGAGACATGTTTGAGCACTTACCGTGCGCTCTATGATACTTGAGAGGTCCCCAAGGGACTGTGGATCAGCAAAGCCAGCCATGTGTAGAGTGGCAGTGATATATAGAAGTGATAGAAGGAAGAGTGATAGAAGAGAAGTCGTGCGGCTAATCCCGTTGGGGTTTGGTGTCCTCCCCCCACCCCTAGCGGCTAAGTCTCCCTTTACTCTTCTCTTTTCTTTCTTCTTCATCTCTCCATCTTTTTTTCCTTTTCTGTTTCTTTTTCTTGTTCCTTCTAGGTTTCTTTCCTAGTTTGTTGGGTCTTCCCTCCTTACCCTCCGATCGTATCATCTCCGTCACGGGCTCTCGGTGTCTCCTAGCACTGTTTATACCCGTTCTTTGTTTAGCTTCATCTTTGATCGGCCTGTTCCCCTTAATTCCCATCCTTTATACTATACTTTCCGGTCTTGCTTGCGATTGTGGGTTTCAGCGAAGCTTCTGGATTGTCTCAAAACGCCCCGAATTTGACAGATCGCCAACCGGGACCCCCCAGTCTGACATTTAATCCCGACCACCTGCCTCATTCGCTTCCTCTGATCGCCTTTGGAATATCTTCGATTTCTCCAAGAAGTCACAATGGCTGAAAACGCTCAGGCATCGGCTGCTTCTCTGCCACAGCCTCCTGCTGTCAATCAACAGTACGATGCTGCTCAAGGCAACGGCCAGGGCCCCCCATCTCACATGCCCCCGCCCCCGCGTCCCCCTGTGATCATTCCCCAGAATACCAATCCGATCCCGACCGCCATGTCCCCCATGTCCGGAAGCAATATGATGTCTCCTACAAGCGCTGGAGGCTACGTGCGCCGAGCCGCCCCCGAACCGAACAAGAGAGCTCTCTACGTGGGTGGACTGGATCCAAGGGTGACTGAGGACATCTTGAAGCAAATCTTTGAAACCACAGGCCACGTGCTCAGCGTGAAGATCATTCCGGACAAGAATGTGAGTCCTCCTGACGGGCATCCCCTGCATCGTGCATCCCCCGTGTGCACCGATAATACTCCGTGGTACTCCACCAGCTGTTGTCTTTTCTCCGGCAGAAAACATAATCGGTATCTGACCTTGTTGTTTTCTAGGGCCAATTCACCACCAAGGGCCACAACTATGGTTTCGTGGAGTTTGACGACCCCGGTGCCGCTGAGAGAGCCATGCAGACCCTGAACGGCCGCCGGATTCACCAATCGGTGAGTTCCCTTTATTCCGGTAATCTGGCTTTGTTCTGACTGATTTGAAGGAAATCCGCGTCAACTGGGCCTACCAATCCAACAGCACCAACAAGGAGGATACCTCTAACCACTTCCACATCTTCGTCGGCGACTTGAGCAATGAGGTAAACGACGAGGTACTGTCACAGGCCTTCTCTGCTTTCGGTTCAGTATCGGAAGCCCGTGTGATGTGGGACATGAAGACTGGTCGCTCTCGTGGATACGGATTTGTCGCTTTCCGCGATCGCGCTGAGGCTGACAAGGCTCTCACTTCCATGGACGGTGAATGGCTCGGCTCTCGTGCCATCCGCTGCAACTGGGCCAACCAGAAGGGTCAGCCTTCGATCTCTCAGCAGCAGGCTATGGCTGCCATGGGCATGACTCCCACCACTCCTTTCGGTCACCACCACTTCCCTACTCACGGCATCCAGAGCTACGACATGGTGGCTCAGCAGACTCCTCAGTGGCAGACTACCTGCTATGTCGGCAACCTCACTCCTTATACTTCCCAAAACGACTTGGTTCCGCTCTTCCAGAACTTCGGTTATGTTCTTGAGACTCGTCTCCAGGCTGACCGTGGCTTTGCATTCGTGAAGATGGATTCGCATGAGAACGCTGCCTCTGCAATCTGCCAGCTGAACGGCTATAATGTCAACGGTCGTCCGTTGAAATGCAGCGTAAGTTACTAATGTTCCGGCGTGTTTTTGCGTTTACTAACAGTCACAGTGGGGCAAGGATCGCCCTCCGACCGGCCAGTACGACACCTTCTCTCCCCAGCAAGCCAACGCCGGGTTCAACAACAGCCCTGCTGGATTCTTCCCCCAGTACGGTGGTCCCCCGAACCCTATGAACCAAGGTTAGCCTGCCACCTCCCTTCCGTCTGAACTGTTACTGACAAGAATAGGTCCTGCCCCTGCTGGTCGAGGCTGGGACCAACAAGCCAACAACTTCACCGGTCCCGCCATGCCTGGTCAGGGTTATCCCCAGGCAGGTAACGCCGGAGGCTACGGCCGTGGCCAGCCCATGTCCCCTTCCGGCAACTGGGACCAGTCCAACAACAACTTCAACGGAGGCTACCAGGCGTAGCTCGGTTCTTCGTGAACAGGTTGCAGTCGGGTTACTCGGCTTTCGCTAACAGAACCAAGTTGTCTTAACAAGTTTTTGCTTCTTGTCTTTCTCTCTCCATAGCACCTCTACAATTCCCCATCTCCGTTGATATTTCTTTCTTTATTTCTCTTTATTTCAAATTGTCTCTTGAGTGGATTTTCAAGCGAGCAAACTGCTTTTGTCTGAAACGGAATTTGTGTCTTGCGCACCAATACCCCAAGTCCACTGTGTTGATTTCGATCTTTTTCATCTTTCTTTCCATTAAGCGTGCCTTGCGATCAAGGGTTCCTTGGACTTTTTGGCTATGCTCTCAAATAAAAGCGCCTCCCTACTCTCTCACCGCGTATTTGGACTGTTTGATTTTTCTAGTTCATCATTCGAGTACATGTATTTTACTTTGTGATTTTGTCAGTCTTTTGATACTATCGAAAGATGAGCTATGGATGACATGGAATATCCGTATATGCTGTGATGAATTTCCTTGCGTGACACCTTTGGCGTTTTAGCCCAGATACCAATTTGGTTTTTCTGTTTAGATGTTTGGATTCTGTTTCTAGCATGCATTGCATTGCATTGGCCATAGGCCATGTTTCTTGATGTGTACTGCGAGTATTGCCCAACTCTATCGTACATGTAGTTATAACACTGTCCCAATAAATGTAGTGGTAACTGACCTGCAGTAGTGCAGGTGGATTTGGTGCCTGACAAAGTAGGCCACATCATACAGCTACTTCTCACCGTATACATACAGTATACAACTTCCACTCAAAGCCCCTGAAACGAAGCATTCCCCAGATTGTGGATTGACGGCAACTTCCCGTACCAATGGAAGCCAACAATGCGGACCTGCCGCCGTCCGACGGTTCACCCAATCGCCGATCCAGCCACAAACGCAGCCTCTCAGCCTCTCTACTCGCACGACTCTCCTTCCTCACCCCCGTGGACCTCCAATCCAGCATGCCAACAAACGAGAGCGGACAAAGCAATGCAACCAACAGCGGAAGCACAAGCACAAGCAGCCGCGCAATGTCCGCCGCGCTCGCGCAACGCCGCACGCGCCGCCGCCGTGGCTCACTCCGGAAAACAGCACTACTAGGCCCAAGACTAGAATCACGAGAAAAAAGAACGTCAACCTCCACCAAAATTGCAGCCGATTCAAGTCGCGCAGACACCGCCACATCCACATCTACCTCCATATCCGGTCTCCCCAGCGATCCCGATCACTTCCAACACTCCTCCCTAAAAGACCACCAACCCTCCGCAGAACATGGCCCCAAATCCTACCCGCGCGCCAGCATCGACGACGATGCAGACGCAGACCTGGGCTTCTTCCACAATAATAATACACTGAAAACTGCTCGGCCGCCGCTAACACGGCGGCGGCAGAGCGTCGCGCGGCAGACACTGCACGGCGAGGAAACAGCCACAGACGACGAGGACCTGGTTTCGTTCCCGCGCCTGGGTTCAAATTCAATCATGACGTCCGGAACTGGGAGTGGGACGGGGACAAGTCCGAAAACCACTGCTGCCGCCGCTGGTCTACACATCTCCACGCAAACGCAGTCGTCCAGCCCGGACGCATTCTACCCACTTGCACCACAATCCGAAACAGCATACAGAACCGTCCACAGACCGAAGTCTTCACCGCTAGCTTCGAATCCCGTCGAGATGAAGAATAATGGTAATAGTGCGGATGTTGACTGGGACTACTCGGAGACGGAGTGGTGGGGGTGGATTATATTGATTGTGACGTGGTTGGTATTTGTTGTTGGTATTGGGAGTTGCTTTGAGGTTTGGAGTTGGGCTTGGGATGTTGGTGAGACACCGTATGCGCCGCCGGAATTGGAGGATGATCCTACGTTGCCCATTGTTGGGTATTATCCTGCGCTTATTATTCTTACCGCTGTTATGTCTTGGGTTTGGGTCGTTGTTGCTTGGGTTGGGATGAAGTATTTCAAGCATGCTAATATCTCCGGGGAAGATATTTGAGTGGTCTGGGGTTTGTTTTGTGCTGTCTTGTTTGTTAAAACTATACCCTTGTCTTTTTTAGCGATATATATATCATACTCGGTTACCTCTATGGGCCTCATTAATCGAAGAGCTGCTTTTGCAGATTGATTTCATGATCCAATGTCTATAGAACTGGATAACAGGTCGAATAAAGGCCAATGCCTGGTTTAATGGTATCCATCTAGCTATCTAGTCTAAAAAGCACCAGGTATATACAAGACAAACTACCTAGCCATGTAACAAAAACATCACAAATTCGACTCCGTCGCCAACCGTCTCAGTCTCAACATACTATCTTGCAAAGAAGTCGCAATCAACGAACCATCAGGACCCCAAAGGAAACTCTCATGCACCGCCCGATTCTCCGCAGCCCTAGGCGTCCATCCCTCCTGCACAAACCACTTCATTGGTAACTCCTCATTCCCATTCCCATTTCCAGTCCCAGTCCCAGCACCAATCTTCCCCCAATCGACCATCCTCAACGCCTCCCCATGCAAATGAACAATAACAGTAAGCGTCAAACTAGCCATCTCACTCCAAGCCCGAATTCCCAACGCCCTAGGAATAAGCAACAAAGAATTCTTATCACTAGAATACATATGCGCACACACATAAAGATTATCATACTCACCCGCCTCCTCCCTCTCCCTAACAACCTTCCACCCAACATCCCCATCAACCTCAGGCGACCCCTTAAGCCGATACTGCGTAAGCTGCCGATACCGCTCAGGCTCCTCCTTAACCAACGCTGAACCATTGAAAGACCCCATATCAGTCTTACGCACGTCTAGCCCGGGGAATGGCCGTTCGGTTATATTGCCACGTCGGACATTCTCAATCCACCAGTCTGCATCGACGCTTGGACTTAGGGGTTGGTCTTCTGCGGGCTTGGATGTGAGGATCGAATTGAAGCGTGTTTGTGCTGATGAGGGCTGGTGGTTGAATAGACTTTGTTTTTCATCGCGCTTGAAGCTGCAGATGGCTGTGAAGCAGATCTTGCCGTTTTGGCGGGCGTCGATGGAGCGCGTGCTGTACATGTACCCATCGCGGATGTGTCGGACTGCATATGTATATGGTGTGTCTAGTTTTCCGGGGAGGATGAATGTGCCTGTCATATCCTGGTTTGTGGGGTTAGTTTTGCTTGCGCTCGTGTTTATGTTTCTTGGGTAGCATTGGCTTTTTTCTTCTGCTTTTCGGGGATTTGGCTTTGACCTTGAATTGTAGGAACTTACATGGATTACAAGTCCCCGTTCGACAGTCTTTGACGCTGCGTATGCGGCTTGCGCATAGACATGTCCGCCGAATGAGCGCGTGCCCTCGCCAGGAGGAAATGGCGCTGCCAGAGAGCGGAACCTTTCGATTTTGTCTGGCCCAGCTGAGTCTTCGGACGAGATGTATGTTGTCTCGAGTCGTTCTAATGCCATCAATTCAACGAAGGAATGCGGGGACGCCGGTTCGTCACTGGCATTGCCTGGGGCCCCGTGTTGTGGAGACATAGGGCAAAAAGACTCGAATTTACGATCTGTTAGATCTTTTGATTTCAACTTGGGGGTTAAAGTTTTCCGAGATGCTCCTATGAGGTGTTGAGGTGCGGCCCGGTGATGGTACCTGTACCTGTCCGATCAAGGATGTCCTGAGTGATCGGCGTGAATGTTGTTCACTAAAGTGCGGGGATGTACACCACTTGCTTTGACTGGTACGCCTGATAGTGCGAACTGAGCTGAATTGATACCGAGTGTTGGGAAAGGAGATTGAAGTAGACGTATGGGATTTGATACCTCGGACGGGTATGGCCGATACCTCGGCTTGTTAGTCACGCGGCACAACCCTAAGGATGTCGAATGTGATATTTGAGGGCTGAGATATGTTAAAGGACATACAGGTGTATGGGACTGATGGCTTTTAAAACACTTCAGTGTACCTAGGGGACATGGCTGCGTGTTTGAAATTAGTTAACCGTGATTGGTTATGTGGAGGCGTTCAAGAGCCTTAGCGCTATAAGTATTGAGATCCTCGTTTCTATATAACGTTAGCGAAAGGACTCTTTCAGCTGACGATAAGCTTTATCTGAAGATACTGGTAAAAGCCCACGAGGTGTGGAAAAGCCGTGGAAAAGATGCGTCCAGCACACTTTTATATATGCCGACAGAATCTATGTTACTCAAAGCAACACAAAGAGTTGTAGATCAAACTGGTATTTTGTACAGTATACGCCAATCGCGCTGATAGTGTCGAGTGGTAATCCCAATGCCCGTGCAATAATGATACAAAAACAAACAATAATGCAAAAAGAAAACCAAATCCACGCTCCAAAATCTGTTATCGACAGCCGAACAAACGTCGGACAAAGAATTATGCCGATTAGATGGTGTCGCTGATCTGGCGAATGTTGTTCCACCCAACCTTGCCCTCGACATTCTTAATCTCCTCAAGCTTGTCGCCCAGCTTAACCACGGAGAAGTTGATCATACGGGGGTCGAGACCGAGAGTCCGGCGAACATTGGACTGGACAGTGCCGGAGGCATCGAAGCGCATGATAAAGTGGTGACCCTCAGAGTATCGGGCCTGATGTTTTGTGGTGACTCGGGGCAAGCGGAAGGCTCCCCAGTTGGTGAAGCCGCGGACAACACCGCCGGAGCGGATGACCTGGGCACCGGCATTACGGGCAATCCTGCAGGGAGAATATTAGTATTCGAGATGACCGATTGATGGAGACCGCGATGGGGTTGATTCAGACGTACTCTCGCACCTCGTTGAGGCTGCCCGGGCGGACCTACAAGCAGAGCGCTGGTTAGCAAATTCAAATAATAATATGGAGACAGGTGCGCAATTCTCGAGAAAACAACGTACAATGGCAATCAGCTCGTACAACATGGTGCAAACCCGATGAGAGACAGAAATGAAGCAATTGAAGCCACGCAAAATCCAACAAGGTTCGGCCGGCTTATCAGTTCTTGGCATTCCTTATCGGAGCCAATGCGTCAACGAAACTCCGCCGGGGAAGCTCCTCTCTCTTCCTTTCCTACTTAAACTCTCTCCTCTTCCCATTTTTCCCTTTCCAACCCTTCAATCCCTTCAATCCCTCCAAAATGTCTTCCGTCGCTCGCGCCGTCCGCCCCTTCGCTTCTCGCGTCCTTGCCCAGAAGCCTCTGGCTCCCGCCTGCCGGGCTTCGCCCGCTTTCCGTTTCCCGCGGGGAACCAGGAGCTTCTCCCAGAGCCCTCTCTGTGAGTATTGTGTGCCCCCAATGCTGTCCAGGAGGGTATACAAGATACTCCGGCTGGCGATGAAGCATCACAATGCTTGATATGTACCCTCCGGGGCTATATGATGTCACATTTGACTAACGGCGCATCAATTCGCATTTCTAGCCCAGCTGAAGAAGTACACCGAGTCGCACGAGTGGATTGAGTTGGCCGACGGCGGCAAGACTGGTTAGTTGGGCCTCTCCCTTGTCAATTGGACACATACCCTCGCCCTCGACCACACTTGGTTCGAAGCGGCGCATGTATATTATACTGTCCACTATCATATATGAATAGCGGGGTAGCTAACATACCATTCCACCCTCTCCAGCCAAGATCGGTATCACCGACTACGCCGCCCACTCCCTGGGTGATGTCGTCTACGTCGAGCTCCCCGAGGAGGATCTCGAGATCGCGGCCGGCGAGCCCGTCGGTGCCGTCGAGTCCGTCAAGTCTGCTTCCGATGTTCTCTCCCCCGTTGCTGGCAAGGTCATCCGTGGTAACAGCATCCTCGAGGATAAGGCTAAGACCATCAACGAGAGTCCCGAGGGTGAGGGCTGGATTGCTGAGATTGAGGTTGCTGATGCTGCTGAGCTTGAGGCGCTTCTTGATGAGGCTGCTTACAAGGCTACCATTGATGCTTAGATTTGTATTTGTGTAGACGAGACAAGTGATATATAATGCTTGCTTGCCGTTTGATGTGGTTGGAACTTATTCCTTTTTACTTTTTTATTTGTCATGTTATGTTTTGTTGTTGCTTGACAATGGCTGGTTTCCTTCAACGAAAGCGTTTAGACTTGTCGATTCCTCTGTGGATTGGCCTACTGTTCAACAAGATTCTGTTCAAAGCAAATTACTTTTTATCTTTTTTTTGTAAACTTGTGAGTTATACATTTATATCGATGTGTGTATAGATCTCGAACACCGTAATCTTATAAAGTGGATTAATATACCAATGAGTATGGACCATTTAATGGGAACATTACAATCATCACATCTATACAGGAGGGATAGTGTCCCGACAGATAGGACACTGAAGTCGAAGTCTCATCCAGCTTTCCAAACAAGCAGTGTGGAAGATATGCCGACAGGGGGTAACCATGTAAGCACGACGACTCAAGATGCTCGAAGCCCCATCAGCGACACTGGTCCCACCAGAAGTGGAAGGCGCAGGAAGAACAGGAACCTCGATATCCTGCATGCAAATCGCACAATCGAACATAGCCTTCTTCCGATCTTTTCGCTGCTTATCCTTATCATCATCCTTGAAATCGCTGACCAGATCTCGCTCATCAGCCCGCAGTGATGCAATCGATAACATGCCACCGCCAGCTTCGAGATCTTCATCTGTACCGGAAAGATCACGCAGCGTGGGATGGTAGTCGTATGCAGGTGGCACCCAGCCTCGCGGTACAAAGAAGCGCGGACCGAGAATGTCCTGGCTGGCTAGGATCCAGGCCTGGATCCAGACCCATCCGGTCATGACGAAGGCGCTTGTCCAGTCGGGTCGGATGAAGAGCACGTTTCCGCGGGCTGTGAGGAAGTACAGGAATGGGAAGAGGCGCAGGATACTCTGGCCGATCACAAAGTCCCAGCGGAGCGCCTTGCGGCAGTTTCGCATTGCGTTGCGGTAAATCTGCGGGACCCAGAATGAGAGGTAGACTGCTGCCAGGAAGCGTGTGTAGATCGAGCCGAGGCGTCTTGGTAGGAGGAAGGCCCAGACGGATAGGATGAGCATGCCGAACAGTGCAAAATAGAATCTTGCGTACATCGCCCCTACATCGCTGCGTATTTGTCTTGGAGTTGGGGGCGTGGTTCGGGTGGGCGCCGGTGGTTCTGTCTCGTCATCCGGAGCATCTTGATCAGGTGGTAAGATGACCGGGGTAGCCCCCGAGTCTCGTACCGCGGCAGCAGTCGCGGGCAAAGGCAAAGTTCCTGGCCGTGTAGTGGGCGCTGCTGGATTGGGCGCACGATCTTGTTCACGCCTTTCCGGCTCCTGCACTGCCCATATCTCCATCATGAACTTCATTCCAATATAACTTACAGAGAGGAACGCCAAAAATGATGCAGTAGTCAGAACCAAGAATGAGATGGCTGCGTAGAGTTCCAGGACAATGAAAGCCAAGACAAATGCATCGCCGAGCGCCATCAATGCGATGGTATAGAAACTGACCCGACTCCGTGTGGAAGGAGTCGAGGCTTCTTTGATTTGGCGCAGGAGTAGGCTAATTTGTGCAACAAATACACCGGAAACCACGAAAACGAGGCGAGCTGCGTATTTATTGTACTCTTCGCTTTTGGGTCCGGACAAATATAGCGTATCAGTCGGAGGGAAGTCGGGTGTTCCCTTGCTTTCAAGTATGTATCCACAGTCTGGGGAGAAGACGACAGCAGACATGACCATCAGAGGAGGATCTGGAATCGGTGCACCCATGGGGTATCTGAGCTCCTGTTCCATGCGCTCCAGTAATAATCGGTCAGCCGCAGCATCACCGACCATAACAGGATGCTGCTGTAGGTAAATGATATGTTCACATTTCGGCGCGGGGAACTCGATTTGCTCTGTTCCTGCCAGAGAAGGCCAAGGGAATAGTGTCGGAGGTCGATTCTGCTTCTCCGAGATAGCGTCCGAGAGCGACTTGAGAAGAAGGTCATGGGACAAGTTGTATGAGTCGGCGGACAGCATGAAATGTGGCAGCGAAAAGATGCCCCCAAATTTCTCGCTTGAGGTAGTCAACACGATGCTTCCGGTGTCAGGGAAGTGTATACCGAATAACGAGAGGTACCAGGTACTTCCCCAGAAGTCCTCACTCTCAACGGTCAAACTCGCCCTCATTTCTCTTGCAAGACCATCGCCCATTTGAAGCTCCTCGCCACCTCCCTCTTCAATATCGAAGTAAAAGGTACCCCCGTTGCCAGTGATATTGCGACTGAACTCATGAGTGAAGTATTCATGTTCTTCGGCGATGGCAGTGACGTTCAGAGTTGTACGGCGAGGCGGATCTTCAATCCGTCGTACCCAGTCTCCTCTTAGCTTTCCTGTCGAGTTGCGATATACGGGAAGGAGAAGCTTGGTCAAGTTCAGGGTAGGCGAGACAGTGGGGTCTTCTATACCACCTGGAGCTTCCAATCCGGCATTTGAAATGGCGGACTGCAACTGGTGGCGAGCACGGTCTTTGACCTGCGGGAACAGGTCCCATGCGTAGCTATCGTTACTTCTCAGCCCCTCAAAAGGAAGCCATCGCTCGGCCGGTGGATCGAAGTCGCCATATCTCGACCCATTCAATAGACGAAGTGCATGTCGCTCGCGGTCAAGCTCGCGCTGCCGTTCCCGGTCCTCATTAACCAATGGGGGTCTAGACTGGGAGCTAAGGAGGAGGTAGAAAACCAGCAGGAAAAAGAAGAAGGAGCCGCGGTTATCCATTGATGCCACGGGGTGCCGGCATTGGACTCTTCAAAGACAGACAACGGTAAGCATTGCGAGAAAGAAAAAAAGAGACCCAGAAAGGGCCAGGGTGCGCGACTAAGTTCTAGACCTGAAGTAAGACGGGAAAAAACCAATGAATGACGAGCGCAATAAGTAGATGTGCTTCCGGGATGGAGTTGATGATGTAGTCGACCCGGGGTCTGGGCGGGTACCGCTCTCTGCTGACTCAGTTTGCCTGAGACACAAATATAAACCTTGGAACTGCTCTATGATGCAAGTACCCCGGAATTTACACCCAGGAAAGAGAGAAAAGACAGACAGAATGAGGAATCTATTCCTAAAAATAATTTTGAAAAGACACAAGGAGTGCCATTGCACCCGTGACAAGAATTGCTCACTAGATGCGAAGACCCGAATGCTGATATCAAACCGGTTGAATTTTGGTACAAATAGAAAAACGCATACACACAAAAACCATGTCCATTACAAAGGACTGCTGCTTTATGAGGCAGCAGCCAGGACACCCTCGCTCTCTTCGCGCTGGTCCCTCCGTCGACGCTTCTCGAGAATGGCCTCGCGGCGCTGTGCAAGCATCTTCAATTGTCTGCTCTCAACACCCTGCATCCAATAGCCGAAGCTACCACCGACACCAGCAAAAAGAGGGTAGACCCAGAGGGACTCCTTGGCGAGAATAGGACGCATCTCGATACCGAGTTGCCAAAGGCGGACGGCGATGCCTGTGGGAAGGATGAAGTTAGCTCACATGGTCTTAATTCCCCGTAGCATGGCATTAAAATAATAAAGGATGCTGCGATAGATTATCGAAAGTCGGAGAGGGGCAAATCACGTACCGAAGCCGCTCCAGAAGAGCACCTTGTGAACCATGATCACGGGTGGGCGCGGGCAGGTGGTTGTAATTTGCGGGCCGGGGGAGTTCCGTCTCAAAAGGTAGACGTGGCGATTGGGTGGATTGAGTAATTCAACACCACAGTGGCCAGATTGAATGGAGGCGGAGTTATAATGTTGCTGTCGCAATAGACCAGGAGAGACGAGGTTGAAGCAAATCAGCGGGCCGGAGTTCCCAATCACGGAACAACCATTCTTCCGGTACCTAGGTTATCGCTTATCGCACGCGACCTGAATCTCTCTTCAGGCTTGTCTTCAAGCTGTCATTATGGCTTCTGAGATGGATTCTTCTCAGGCCTTAGAGGCTGATGCCTCTACGAATAAACGGCCTATTGATATCGAAACCATGGGGCGCAAGAAATTCAAGACTGAGGACCTGCCCTTTACTCCCGTGCAGCATGCTGCCATGGATAAACTCCGCCATGCGTTCAAGAAGAAGGGCTATTTCGATCTTGTTCGCAAGCAGCTCTGGACCGGCTTCAATGAGGGTGTATGATTATTTCCATTACCTGTATCGCGCATCCATTTCTACGTTGCTAAATCTTTTTGGCAGGAACCCAGGACCATGTTTACCAATGAACTGCTCGCGCTCGCCGAATCAGAAATTGATCGTGAACCCGCCCTGCTTTCTCGCGAGAGAGGAAAAGCCGCGACATTGATCGAAGGAGCTGTTGATCGTGGTGATGTCTATAAGAATGTGGAGAACTCAATCGACCAGCTTGCACTAAAACACGCCGACTTTATCCTCGAATCCCTCCGCGAAATCCGCCGCCAAGAAGTTGGAGATGAAGTTGCTATGCGCGAACTCGAGTCAGGAAACAAGACCGATGCGGAATACGATGCCCTTGTGAAAATCGACCGTGATAGGCGGGAGAAAATATGGCAGGAAGAGAAGCGCAAGGAGATGGAGCTCGAGGAAGAGCAGCAAAGGATCAAGGATGAAGAGCTCCGCAAGAAGCGCGAACTTGACCGGCAGAAGGAAGACGAAGACAGGGCTCGAAGAAAGGAAATCGATGAACAGAGACGAGCTGACCGTGAACGCCTGCGCGAGGAACAACGAACGCTCGATGACCAGCGAGAAAGAGAACGACAAGAAAGATACGAGCGGCGGAGGCGAGAAGACCGGGATAGGGACCGCTACTGGGACCGTGATCGCAGTCGCACTCGCGACAGGGAACGTTTCCGTGATCGTTCTCCTGACTATCGCCCGGACCGCGGCATGTCTCCTCGGCTCCGGGACGTGAAACGAGAGAAGTCCATCGCTTCAAAGGATCCGACCCCAGCTCCAGTGGACGAAAAGTCATTGGAGGAGGCTGCTCTGCAAATGCTCCTGAAAGAAGGCGAAGAACTCGCGGCCAAGGCTCGAATGAAGCCAGAGTTTGATTTCGAAGAGGCTGAAGCCATTGAAAATGGCCTGAAACCGGCGTCAGCAGCGGCCAAGAGTGCCAATGACAAGTACTCCAATACCTCAACCAGAGCGGCCAGCCCATCCCGCCATTCCGAAGCAAGGCGCGGCTCAACTACAGATCGCCGGGAGCCGTCTCGGCATCTGATGCGTGATCGGAGCCGTAGTCGCTCGCGCCGACGACGCACATCTCTGTTTGACCGCCGTGACCGGTCCCGGGACTCTGTGAGATCCCGTGACCGTGACATGGATTTGCGCCGTGGTTACCGTGACTTCCGAGATAATCGGCCTGATGATAGAAGCTACAGACCGAATCGTCGGAGCCGTAGCCGTTCCGTGGTCCGGCGTGATCGAGCACAGTCTAAAGACCGTGACCGGGATACTGACCGTCGCCCTGACCGTAGCCGTGAGCGAGAACGAGAATATGAAACATACCGTCCCAGGCGACGAAGCCGACCTTCTCGTTCACCTGTTCGTCGAGGTTCGCGCAGCCGTCGCTCGCGAAGCCGTTCTCGGTCTCGCCCTCGAGTCCGGGCTCGAGACCGTTCTCGATCCCGTTCTAGGTCCGTCCGACGGCGTTCGCGTTCTCGGCGTCGCTCTCCTTCCCCCACTCTGGACATCGACCGCTACGTGCCTTCCACGAGCAACCGAAGCAAGTCACCTAGGCGCCGGGTCCGAACCCCAGAGAGAGAACGAGAGCGAGATCAGCGACCACGAATGGGTGATATTGACCGTTACATGCCGCCCTCTGAACGAGATGATGATGCGGCTCCCATAAAGGAGGAAGACGTTGAGGCAGTCGCAGAAAAGGAGATAAAGAAGGAACCAGAAGATGAAAAAGAAAAGGAAAAGCCAAAGCCAAAGCCAAAGCAAAAGGAAAAGGACACAGAAGATCGTCGACCTCGCCGACGAAGTCCAAGCCGTCGAAGAAGCCGCAGTCGCAGACGAAGTCCTAGTCGCAGGCGGAGTCCCAGTCGCAGGCGGAGTCCTAGTCGCAGGCCTAGTCCTAGTCGCAGAAGAGATCGCAGTCGCCGAAGGAGCCCTAGTCGTCGACGCAGCCGAAGCCGTCGCAGAAGTCCAATTCGTCGGCGCAGTCGTAGTGGAAGGAGGAACAGGAGCTGATGCCCTGCGCAATTATGTTTGTAATATTAATACCAGAACTGTGTATGATTATGGAAATGAGAATACTTGCCATGTCTAAATGTCTCTACGTGCTGTCCATAGAAGATAAGCTTATCGCTTATCGCTTGTCGGTGCTCCACCAAAAAAGTTGAACTCAAACCCAACTTCTCTTCGCTTCGTCTTTTACACAACTGTCAGACTGGCATATACTATCACGTCTAATAGGCTCAAGATCGATCCTTCCATCCATGATCCCAGTTCAGTGCAACACGACCACCTAGAAATCTCTGATCCCCGGCGACAAACCTCCCCAAACACACGAACCATGCAAAAAGAAACACAAAAACCAGAGGCAGCAAAGAGCCAAACCTCGAACAAGCCATCAAAAACAATGAACCTAACAGATCGCACCGCCCGCCGCCAACGCGCCTCATACCCGCCCTCAGACTCAGACCCAACCTCATCCTCGGGCTCCTCGTCAGAAGACTCCAGCGAAAGCGAAAGCGGAAACGAAGACGAGCACCACTCCGACCAAGAAATGCGCGACGAACCCAGAGCCACAGCAGCAAACCCAGCCGATCCCTCCTCATCACTACCGCATATCGGCGGCCGACCCAAACCGCGCATACACCGCATGAAGGGCGATTCGGAGCTCTTATCGCGGCTTAATGCTTTCTTGCCGAAGATGAAGAATGCGAATGAGGATTTGCAGAAGGAGATCGAGGCTGGGAGGGTTGGGGATCTTGTTCTTGATAATGCCGATGAGAGTGGGGAGCAGTATATTGAGATGGTATAATTCCTTCGTTATCTGTTTTGCTTAAGGACTTTACTAATGGGAAGATTGTAGGATCTTGGACTTGGTGTCTTGGAAGAAAAGAAGGAGGGTGACTCGTCTAGTGAGGATGAGGATGAGGATGATCGCGAAGATGCGAAGACTGGTTCTGGTGCTGCTGGGAATACATCTCAAGAGCTGAAGGACTCTGATATCATTGGAAAGCTTATGGGAGGTAAGGGTAAGAAGACCGAGACGGATAAACCGTCTATTGAGGAGATGACGGAGTAAGATGCTGTCTGATGTGGCTTGCAATGTCTCAGATATTGATTCGGATGTGTGGTACTTACTGTACTGATTCATTTACGGCGATTTACCGGCTTGTCATTTTTTATTTGCATATGGGCTACATGTTGTCATCTTTAGCGTCTTGATATTTTGCTTTTTTTGAACCACCCATGTGAAGAAACTCCTGAAGGTTACCAGCAGTTGAAAGCCGCTGCTGACGAAGGCGGAATACCTCCTTATGATCAATTCTTGGAATCCTAGAAAATGGTCAATATGTGACAAAAGTTACAAAAAGTTACCAATGTCTATAAGTTCGTCCATGAGCCGTTACCAAGATCCAAGTTGAAGCCCTGGGACAGAGTTTGGAAAAACACTGTTGTCACTCCCACTGCCACTCCTACCCCGACAAACTCTTCTGCAACAGTATGTTGATAGGGCTGTCATTTACAACGCTGAGAACGTCTCGTGTCGAGAGAACGTCACGGCTCAGTAGCACTCAGTAACGATCAGTAGCAACCTATCAGGGCTATTGTTGTGTTATAGTGTTCTATATTGAACACCCCAAACCCCCAGTGAGATCACTTGCTTTGGTGCTGGCGTCGGATGTGCCACTAACTGCATAGATGAGGTCCGCCACGGCCTCCGCTGGACAGAGCAAACCTCTCCCAAGACTTACACCCAGGCTCTTGACAAAGGAATGCGAAATGCGTTATTGCACGGGTCGTATGGAATCCTCAGCGACCTGTTCACCGAGGAAAACGCTCTTGTGGACGTTCTTACTCCCCAAGACCTATTCTCCTAGGGCTCATTGCCTCTTTGGTCAATCGTCATTGAATGGGGTGGATCATCAACCAGCGCGGCCTATTCTTTGGTCGTCAACGTTTACGACTTCTCCACCTGGCGTGTAAGAAGTTCGATCTCGTACGCTGGTATCTAGATCACGCGGCCAAGTTGGGCAACGGGCAAGGACCGGATTCAGACCATCCCCCCGTTCTCCAATCCGTGGCTGAGCGTGGGAGCGTCAACATCTATAAGTTGCTCCAGAGATTCGGGCCTCGTCTTGGTCCGCGCGACTTACGCCTCGTCGCTCGGCGAGACGGTATCAATTGCTATGAGATGCATTGGGGGTGCTTCGACATTTCCTTGATGGGTTAGGTCGAGATGCCAATTCTTTTATTGAGGACGGGTGGGGATGACTGCTTCTTTATTCTATCGGGCTAGAGGTGTCGGGGGAAGATCAGATGGCTCGCATCTTGCTTTGACGGCGAGCAGACCCCCTATTGGGAGCATGGCGGTTTTGACTTCGCAGCTTGGGGTCTCAGTTTCTTTTTTCACATCTATAGAAGTGGCTCCAAATCAATTACTGCAAACATGAAACATCGATACATTCCTATGCAACCGCCAGTAAATCAAGTCTAGATAAGACATGGAAGAGAAGACAAAAACGGACATATCGCGGATCTCTATATATGCATGAACCCATCATACACTATGACCGAATGACATTATTAAAAGAAGATAATTTTGCGTGACGCCGTGGGTTTGTTTAGGACACTTCCTTGATGCGGCAGGTCCAGCCGGATTCCTTGGACAGGAGGGGCAAGCTGCAGGAAATGCAAGTCAGTATATGCTGGGAAAGTAAGAGTGGGATTAACTAACCTCGCACCAAGACACCAGCCCAGCTCGTTGTTCTTGATCTTCTTGGCAATCTTGACCTCGCGGGACAAGGGCATCTCGTAACCAGTGTGGAGCAGAGCCATCATGAAGTTGAGGTCCAAGCACCATTCAGGGCGATCGCGAAGCTCGGTAAGAGCGTTTTCCACGCCCTTGAAGGCACCCCAGCTGCCCTCGCCGGCACAGACCGTGTTGGTCAGCTCGTGAAGCTCGTTGAGAGTGAAAGACTCGGGCATGCCCAGAGGAGCCGTGCGGTCGTAGAAGTAGGAGAAGATGAAAACGTCCTCCCGAGAGAAGGTCTTCGCGAGAGAGGGCTGGTGGACACCGTTGAAAGAGCAAGGGGAAAGCTTGCACTCGCCGCTCTTCTTGAGAATCTTTTCGGCGAGAGCACGGCACTGAGGGGCCATGGACTTGTCTTTAGGTCCAACCATCTTGAGCTCGGGATTGGGTCCCAGAGGGTGGTCGGCGGGGAGCTTGAATTTGACATCGCGCCACATTCCAGGTCCAATACAAGGGTTCGGAATAGGTTCTTTCGCCCAGGACAGGTCGTTAGGGTTGTTAGCCAGCATATTTTCCACAACCACCATGTGAATGGCTTCGCGGGCAGTCATCAGACCGTATCCAAGGTGAGAGTGTTGGTACAGCTCGAAATCACGGCCGCCAAAGCTGAGGTCGTACTTGTGATCACCGGGCGCGAGGTGCTCAGGCATACCACCAGTCTTGCTCTTCTCATAGGTGGGCTGGAAGACAATCTGAGTGGAACCGCCACCCAAGTCGAAAACAGCGGCAGTAGGAGTCTCGTCAGGGCCACCAATCTTGCCGAGCAAGTAGTTGGCTGTGATCCAAGCATAGACACCTTCGTCCTTGCCATCCATGATCTCGACACCGCCCTTCTCCTTGGAGACGACTGGGAAGGGATAGGCAGTCTCTAGGCGGCGGCGGACGGCATCCAGGATTTTGCCGCTCATTTCATCACCCAAAAGACGAAGTCCAGCCGTAGCCTTGACGGCAATCGGAGAGCAGGACTTGTACTCATCGGGAACCGACTTCAAAGCGACCTCCATAAGAGGGTCCAGACTGTGGGCAGCGCCTTCAGCGTCTTCTTTGAAAGAGCTGAGACCGGAGCTAGAACCTTCCACCTTCTTGGTTTGCTCAAAAACCTCATTTTCAAGTTCCGGGGTAGAGCCGCAGTTGTTGAATCGGTAGACGTGAATACGAGACCCGGTGCTACCAGCATCGATCATAAGGGCATATTGAATCAGCGGCTTGGACGGGTCGGAGGACTTGGTACATTTCGTGGTCGACGACACGCCGCTGCTTGAAGGCGGTTGCTCTGCAGGACAATCAGTTATGTGAAGCGACTAGCGCATGGGAAATACATACCGTGAGTAAAGCTAGAAGTAGCAGGCTTAGACGGGGAAAGCCACACCAACACCATGAAGATGAAGGCGATGATAGCCCCCGTCTTCAGATACCGCGATCTTTGGCTTTGTGCCATGTTGGCTTGTTCTTCAGTTCGATTGATGTGGACCGACTGAGAGACGGATCCGTTGCTCTGAGGGGAGCGTTGACGGGCGATTGAATCAAGGTGGAGTTTGTTGTCTTGTTTGTCGACTCCAGTCGACATGCGAGCAAATGGTCGAATATAGTGACAGGTGGCGAATGTCCAAGGACGATGAAAGAACGACCGGACGGTTTAATAAAGAGGGAAAGAAAACAAGCAAGCGAACATTGATCCTCCAGAAACACCAAGCCGGGCCAGAAAGAATAGGTGGAGAGATGTTCAGGGAAAATTGTCAGGAGAAAGGAGATCCAAGGGTTTCAGGGCTGTGGCGCAGATGTGGCTGAATGCGGTTCCCCGATGCCCCGATATCTTCCCTATTCGTCACTCCTCACTTGACTCTTTGGCCTTCCACTCTCAATATTCTACGATCTTCCTACGCACTTCTTCAGAATTCTCCTGCTACAAACATGGGCCACACTCGCGGCCTCGTGTCGTCCGCCCAGGCCTTGCGCCAGATCTTCGTTACACCTGGCCGTATCTCCAGAGCTGGTATTCTTCCCAATACTCTGCGAAATGGGGTCCAGATTCGATTCTTCCAACAGTCACATTTCCTATCCCTCCGCGAATACCGCCCACCCATCCAACTGCCCCCGAAAAACGAGGCTATTACTGCAAGATTCATACAACTGGTCAACGAAGAAGGCAATCTAGAAGCCCCAACTAGACTCGAAGAGGTCCTTCAGTCCTTCGACCACAAAGATCATTTCCTTATGCAGGTTCAACCCGCAAAAGGTGATCAACTTCCGGTGTGCAAAGTCTTCAACAAGAAGGAAGTGCGGGCAACCGAAAAGGCCAAGGCCAAAGCGTCACGAGCAACCAAGAGTTCAGTGAAGTCAATCGAGTTGAACTGGGCCATCGATGCCCATGATCTGTCACACCGGTTGAAACAGCTCACAACCTTTTTGGACAAAGGTCGGAGGGTGGAGGTCATTTTGACTGCAAAACGGCACAAGCGCAAGGCAACGGTAGATGAGATCAAGCATGTCATGCAGAGAGTACTCAACACTGTGAGAGAGGCTGGTGCTATTCAGACCAAGGCGATGGAGGGTGAACCTGGAAAGCAGGTTACCTTCACCGTGCAGAAGGACAATTAGGAGGACTGGACATTGTGTATATTATGTGGAACTGGAGTGTACAAGATATAAGCTGCATAGCACTGCTCTGAATAGAGCTTTCGTTTAATATATAACAGCTCTTCAATAACTTCCAAGGTTGACAGCTGAACTTGACTGATAATGTCCATATGGCATGACGTAGATACACGCGCATTGCCCGGTACTCTATAAAGCCATACATTGGGAAAAGCCCTCATATACAGGACATAGCTCAAAATAACTGTCTATTCCAACTCCATTGCGCTCCTTTGCATCTCTTTAGCCCATCTACTTCCTGATGACGGCGAAACCTCCGCAATTCCAGCATCCTGATTGGCCGATGACTAAGCACCTCCCTGAATCCGCCGTCTGACTAAAAAATTTGGTGTTGATCTGGGCTTCTTCTCTTCCATCTTTACATCTGTTTCTTCTTGCCTTTCTTTTTCTTCCATCGTTTTTGTCAATTGAACCAAGATGTCGAGCATCTCCCGTTCATTGAACCTTTTGGCGCGTACCAGCCGGTCTTCCCTGCTGCGCCCAACTGCCGTCAACCCCGTCCACCATGTCTTCAGCAACAAGGTGGCCGCCCGTGGCCTGGCTACTGCTTTCGAGCGTAACAAGCCCCATGTGAACATTGGTAAGGCGAATGTCATTGCGCGTGACTGGACTTGATGCTAAGATATTCCTATCCAGGTACCATTGGTCACGTCGATCACGGCAAGGTAAGCCATTCGCGACTTCTTCCGACAGCTTCGCCATCGAATCTAACCCATGCGCCATAGACCACCCTGACTGCCGCCATCACTAAGCACCAGGCCTCCAAGGGTCTTGCCAACTTCCTCGAGTATGCCGCCATTGACAAGGCTCCCGAAGAGCGCAAGCGTGGTATCACTATCTCGACTGCTCACATTGAGTTTGCGACTGAGGACCGTCACTACGCGCACGTCGACTGCCCCGGTCACGCCGATTACATTAAGAACATGATCACTGGTGCTGCCAACATGGATGGTGCCATTGTCGTCGTTGCTGCCTCTGACGGTCAGATGTATGGGCCCCATGGTCTATAGCAATTGGATGGAAGTGGGCTAATGAAATCGCACAACAGGCCCCAGACTCGTGAACACTTGCTGCTTGCCCGCCAGGTCGGTGTCCAGAAGATTGTTGTGTTCGTCAACAAGGTCGATGCCGTTGAGGACCCCGAGATGCTTGAGCTCGTCGAGCTTGAGATGCGTGAGCTTCTCTCCACCTACGGCTTCGAGGGTGAGGAGACCCCTATCATCTTCGGCTCTGCCCTCTGTGCCCTCGAGAACCGCCGCCCCGACATCGGTACCGAGCAGATCGACAAGCTCATGAAGGCTGTCGACACCTGGATCCCCACCCCTGAGCGTGACATGGACAAGCCTTTCCTCATGTCCATTGAGGAAGTCTTCTCCATTCCCGGCCGTGGTACCGTCGTCTCTGGACGTGTCG